CATAACGTCTCAGTAGCCAACTGACGCTTGTCACACATCCGCAACGTTCTGCTGTCACTGGGCGTCTATTTTACATCACTCACGCGCTAGGTGCCTCTTACAATGATGATAATTCATGTAGTTTCTGATGAGATGATTCACAATGCAGTAACACAAGACACACAGGGTCATGTGGCTGAATAATGGTCCACAATGTCATTTTCAATATGGCTGTCATGGCGGCCATGTTAAAATTTGAATGCAACATTCTATGAACATGCTGAAAGTGTCAGTTTAATCCAGTCAGACAACTAGATAGACAGAAATCTGGATGCCTTCAATCATGTGAGCGAAAAATGTTTTGGGTGTTTTTCATGTAACCATGGCTGCAGCAATATAAATAAAATTGTGGTTTAGAGTTATTTTTTTGCATCTACCATATTTATTGGCTCTGTGGATCTTTAAACCTATTTATAGTGTTTTCAACAAGACTGCCATATTCCACAGCATGGCCTTAAAGCCATGTTATTCTGTGTATTCTCAATATCAAGATAAATACTGACGTTTCACATATTCAACAATGTATGAAATGAACAAGGGGATAGTTCTACAGACATACAAGACTGACTGACTCACTGACTGACTGATTGATTGATTGATCATTAAAAGTTCATACGTGTTCAGACACCTAGAGCCATTTACACCTTGCCAAACATAAAGGTTTGCTAAGTTTCTAAACTTTTATAAAGTAGTTAAGCTGCCACATGCTTTAATATAATCAAGAATGACATTCTGAACTTCATGACGAACAATATTCCTTGAGCACAAAAGTCTAGAGGGGTCAATACTGAGAGCTGTAAGAGATTCCATCACCACTTTACGTTGATTTACACATTTTTGGCAATGCAGTAAATAATGCGCCACATTATCAAGCTGATTACACACTGAAAAATTCACAGAAATATCTTTATTCATAATACATGCACATTCATCGATCCAGTTATTACTGACAACATGTTACAATGACAACAGATTATGGACTAAAATACTATGACATAATGTCATCTTAGCTAAAAACAGGGCCCTGTGTATCTAGGAGCCATGCTATAAAAACTACAGGATCTACTGTATGATCTCAGTGTTTCAATATTTTCAATGTTACGCGAGCCCAGGGACTCATCAGCAAATAATCTTCTTAAACATGTCAGCTTGAACATCAAGAAACAAGAGCGAGCCCCGTGTCAATCCCTGTGTAAAATCTAATTTAACAACCTTCAGTGTGAGACAATGTGGCGTTTAAAAAGACAGTGTATGCAAGCTGTTACGTAATCAGCCAGTCATTTTCATGATTCATCTTTTTATACCATAACAGGGGCGGTAGGGTAGCCTAGTGGTTAAAGCGTTCACCCATCATGCCGAAGACCAGGGTTCAATTGCCCACATGGGTACAATTTGTGATCCCCATTTCTGGTGTCCTAAATTGAATTGCTTAAGTAAACTAATTGACTTATAGCATAACACTTCAAACTACATTTGGAATCGACTATCAATGGCAATTTCAACAAAATCAACTAATGCCCAGATAGCATTGGACATTGGCCCAATGTTGGCAATGTTGGCAAAACCATTGCCATTGTTGGGCCAACGTCTGAACGCTATCTGGGTGGGTTCAGGACAAACTAATTCTTTATAATCCTAGGAAAACAAAATCAATCCTGAAAATGATTACTATGATAATGGTGATTTCATTATTGTGGATACATACATTGGACACCAACAGCCTCTGGTCCAAGGGAGACAACTCCTATGTACACATCGCACATTACTGTCTGTTAACAGATGACAATCTAGCACATGAAATTCCCCCAAATCTGCAACCAAACCCATGAAACTTGCCAGCCCTGTCAAATGTTACTTGTCCAAGCTCTTCATTTATCACGTTGCCAGATTTTTAGTACATAGAATCAATGAATCAGTCAGTTTTGTTTTTTATGCAGTGGAAAGAATCATGTCACTTTCAGACTGATCACTGCCACTGTTCACTACAGAGACTGAAAGTTATATTTCAAAGTCAACACTACTAAAGGTTTTGACTCACAAATCATAATTGCACAAATGCAGTAACTGCCCCAAGCTGTTACAGTACAACATGAGATTCCATTAGTATTTCAAATTCCAACAAAAGTCAGTACCAATGCTAAAGGATTTGTCCCCAGGGTGTTTTACGATGACTTACAAAAGTGGAGGTCCAGGAAAGCCCAATCAGTAAATGCTAGGGGTTGTTGCTGGTAATATGACTGACTGACTGAGTTTTGGTCTTACGCCGCTTTTAGCAAATATTCCAGCAACATCACGGCGGGGGACACCAGAAACAGGCTTCAGACATTGTACCCATGATTCGAACCTGGGTCTTCGGCGTGACGAGCCAACACTTTAACCACTAGGCTACCCCACCGCCCCGCTGGTAATATAACGGTCCTGTGAAGTATTAAAATGGTGTAGTGTATTGTATGTTCAGATAATTACTGGCCGCCTCCGTGGTGTAGTGGTTAGAGCGTCTGCCCGGAGGGCGGAAGGTCGCGGGTTCGATCCCCAACCGCGTCATACCAAAAGAACGTTAAAATATGGTACTTGTTGGTCCCTGTCTGGCGCTCGGCATTAATGGGTACAACAAGGACTGGTTGGCTCGGAGTCAGTATAATGTGTCTGAGTGGGGTATTCATGCTTCACTGCGGCATGGTATCTCAGTGGGCTAGCACTATAAAACCAGCTGAAGTCTGGACTAGTACCAGCAGCCGCACATACACATACACACGCATGCACGTCGTCATATGAGCGAAATATTCTCAAGCACGACTTTAAACCCAATTTCACCTCACCTCACCTCAGATAAATACTTCAGAGCCTGGAATGAATCAGTGTTCATGTTGACAGTGGTCCTGACTGACAACAGACACAGTTAACTACTCTTGATGTGTTATAGGTACGATCTCAGTATCTTTGTGCATCTCTCTGGAGTCAGTATTTTGGGGTTTCTGTGTCCATTTTCTACATTTGAGTGTCGTGTAAAACCTTGATACAACATGAGATCCACCATTATTTTAAAGTAAAAAAAATAAAAAGGATTTGTCTGTTGTTGAGACCTGCAGATCAGAAAATCTCAGATGCAGCCCAAAATATTGTCACAGCATCTCATATTACGGGAGCAGCATTACGTTTGAGGTATGGATGCGGGACTATTCATTGGTTTATTTATCTATTTGCTGACAAACTTTCATGATTTACATGATTTACATGTTTTACGGAGTGTGACATTGTTGTGAAATGCAATTAGCACTGTGATTAACTTTGTAATAGATTTCCTTATAAGAAACTCGGGGTCACAAGCATCACAAAGACTTTAGAACTTAACTGTAACTATTGATTCTATCACATACTTCTCTTCAATAATTATATTTTATGATCAAAACATACTATTGCCTAACGTGGAAATATGCCAGTCAGGCAGTGAGTCACTGGATGGTGAGAGTATGATAAATATTGACTATTCCGTTCAAGCTTTATGGTCCAAGGAAGACAACTCCCACAAAGGCATCTGACATCACTGTGTTTCAGATGGTGACAGTGATGTCTATATTTCACATGAGTACTCCAAAAGGAAAATGAACTCACCAAATGTTTGACATAATTCTGAATTGAAAAATGATAGCCTTTTTGGGTCCCGATATTAAAATCTTACTGTCGCAAATGTAGGTTATATACACCCTTCTAATCCTGAATACTGCATCAAGTAAAGGCTCTGTTCCATAGAGCGATCTTAGCGCCATGATTTTTGGCAAGTCTATGTTAAGTGTCAGATATATAATAACCTAAACACTAAGATCACATTGCGGAACTGAGCCAAGATCTCACTTCAGATGAATTGCTTATGCAAAGATGTATGTACACAGTATTTACTTATGTAATTGCTTTTTTACTTCATGTAACATTGTCAACATAGTAAGGAAGGAATTAGTCCTGATAGACTTTCATCCATCTTGTGATTAACTGACATGCTGTATTGATTCTGTCACACCCTTAAAACAATAGTGTAAACATACCATATTTAAAAAGGCACTGTGATTTATATACATGTACATTGAATGAAAATACATTCACTAAAACAGAATGAGTACATGATTGTATTATCTCAGTTGGGCCCGGGATTTTCCTCGAGTCCTGTATTTGAGGGTCCCTTGGACTCATACGGTTTATTTAAAAAATCAACACGCTTAATTTCAGGGGTCCTGGGCTACAAAATGGGGGTCCCAGACATTTAAATAGTATTATTAATGCTATATTGTAATATTGTTGTAATTCAGTTATTGTATTGTGGAAATGATACCATTGTCCAGCTAGTAGCGAACTCAGTGATAACTTATTGTTACTTGATTGGAATTTTACAAAAAGTATTTGAACTTTTTCTGCGTCCCTGTGGACGTGCTATTAAATTTCGTTGCGTCCATTGTCATTTTTATGCGTATAGGACGCAGGAATTCGTAAATCCCTGTTTGAGACTTCAACTGTCTGACTGTGGGTGGATTACAAGCTCCATCCTAAAACTAGAAGCTAGGCCTCTATTTGAGGCCAAATCTCAACAGTTTACTGCTTTATACTGATGGTTAATAATGACTGTTTCCTGCAAAAGTTTCCTGTGTGTGACGACAGAATTAGGGATTTTTGTCAGTGATGAGTTGCTGCTATGCCCGCATTAAACATATTAGATGCTGGGGTTCTAATTGACGCTCTGTTAATGACATGCTCAAAATTAATTGATTCCCAGGTGTTTAGAAGACTCTAACAAACACCTGCAAGACAAGCTTAACAAACACATACAAACATATTGACGCAATAAGATTACAAAATCTGAAAAATTTGTAAATATCCACCAGGAATGTTGACTGGGATTTACACACCTGGATTTTGGACACACACAATTATTAAACCAACAAATAAAAGGAAATTGTAGATGAAGTACTCACATTTCTCAAAAACTTGACCTCTGCAATGATTTTGCGTTCCAGCTTCAGCGCCCCCTTGATGTGGCAGAGTCTGTGACACTTCTCACGGAGCTCATGGGCGAACTGTAGATAGCAGTCTGCAGATGGGGAACTACCTTTGGCGGCCATTATCCTGGAAATTATTCTGAAGTTGTACAGGCCGATCATAAAATCAAACAATTGGTAATTCAGTAAGATATATCCTGTTTGATACCCACTTCAGCAAAATTTCCAGCTGCTGTAAATGATTGAGTCTGGACCAAACATTCCAGTGATTGATAACATGGCAGCAGACTATAAATAAATGAGTCTGGACCAGACAATCCAGTGATCAACAGCATGACACATCGATCTGCGTAATTGGGAACCTATGGCATGTGTCAACCAAGTCAGCGAGCCTGACCAGTTTCATAAAGAAGTCATAAATGTTCCATTCGATCACGAATAACAACTTGAATTCAGGAAGGGATGGGGTTCGATTCAGTGGGGTAGCCTAGCGGTTAAAGTGTTCTCTCATCACCGAAGACCCGGTGTAGCAGGCCATTTCTTCTCCGGTCTAAAGTTTTGTCCTAGGATATTGTTTCCCCGGGGGAAAGTTTGGGCTAGGCTAATATTTCCCTGAATCTCCACATGGCCATTGTCTACACACAGGTAAGCAGTGATCACGGAGTACTCAAACATCATGGCTTGGAGCAGGTAATCTTCAGGTGAGTTGTGAAATATTCAAATCATTTTGTGAATTGAAAATACTGCAATTGCTTTTCTAATTTACATACAAATGGCACAGTTTTGACCTACAGCCCAGGTAGCTGAAAGCGGCAATGGGGCCAACAGTCAAGACCGACATTTCTGGGTCCATAGCTTGTGTTTAGTTGGGGATGATTTCTATTCTGACAAAGAATTAAATCAGTCTCATTAAAATCATGTCCTCAGATCTCCACGCAGACAGAAGTAAATGATAGGACTTGAAAGTTATACAGTTATAAGTGAGTCATCATTAGTGAAATTTCCATAGATTTACATGTTAATTAACCGTTGCAAGAATAATATTCATAAATTGAGTAGAAGTTATTTTATTTTGATATTTTGCAAAGTCTTGGAAATCATCTTCAGCTACGTGTACATAATTTTCTTTCATTTTTCTGTTGATTAGGTATCGAATGACACCTGATTAAGCACCATAAGTACAACTTAATTTTAATCTATCCCATGGCCAGCCATGTTAAACCTGATTGGTATGTCTAATATATGTTGTTTAAATAGTTGCAGTTTTCTTAATAATCATTGGAAAATTGAATGGAAATTATGTGTATGTAGCTGAGATGATTTCCCAGCTGGTAGATAAGTATTGAAAGCAATTCGACCGAAACTAAATTTATGAAAATTATTCTTGTAAGAGTTAATTAACATGCAAGTCTATGGGAATTTCACGAATGATGACTCTCTTATGGCCAAATACTGTAGCTGTATTTTGAACTATTATTTCTGACAGCTCAGGGGCATGTAATCTTTTGTATGAATGAATGAAACATGTAATTCATAAACACACCATTTCAATTAAACCTTCTCTAACCACTTTCAGTCTCCTAAGTGTTACTATATTGATGCAAAAGGTCGCGGGTTCGATTCCCGACCGCGTCATACCAAAAGACGTTAAAATATGGTACTTGTTGGTCCCTGCCTGGCGTTCGGCATTAATGGGTACGACAAGGACTGGTCGGCTCGGAGTCAGTATAATGTGTCTGAGTGGGCTAGTACAAGCAGCCGCACATACACATACATACGCATGCACGTCGTCATATGAGCGAAATATTCTCAAGCACGACGTTAAACCCCATTTCACCTCACCTCACTATATTGATTTCATCAAACAACATATACTCTGTGAATACACATTACCATTTAGAAAGTGGTCAAATATAACATATTTTACATGTGGGACTACATCTCAGTGCAGAACAAATTCTAATACTTTTGTTTGATTCAGTTACAACCAGGATTCGAAACCATACTCTGAGAGTTGAGTCCCATCTGGGATTCGAACCCATACTCTAAGAATGGGATAGAATCCCAGTTGGAACTCAATATTACAAAAGTACTAGATTCTTTACCTTACTGAGAAAGTGCAATCCCAAAGATAACATTTGTTCAGAGGTACGGAGAAGCTGCGTATCTGCGTAAATTACACAAATATTTATGTGAAAACTCAATTCCTATTTTAGCATATTGCGTACAAGTACGCTTGAATTTTTATAAATACTCAATAAATGTGATCTTACATGCGTACACATAAAAATGTCAAATCTTAACTTTTTGTGGATAGATAAAATAACTGAGGCATACTGAGAGGTTCTATTTCAGGACATGAACTTGACAACTTGCAGTTTCTCATAATACAGATAAAAAAATAAGCAACAAACCCTAACATTTAAACTTTATTACATTTTTAAAATTAACGTAAAATGGCAAAATACCCAATTGAGTTTGAGTGAGGTGAGTACAATTCGGTTACTCAAAAGAAAATTAGGATACCCAATTGAGATAAACACAAGCAAGTACACAATGATCCAAACAGTTATCTGTAGCTCTGTTTGTTACAACGTATACTCTGCAAAAATAGAAACACAAAAGCAGAAAAATTGGAATTTTGCTGATATTCATACATAATGAATAGCAAATATGAATTTCTCATGTCTGCGTGTGTTATGTCATCTACATCCGCACGTATGAGCAGGTGATATCACATCACATAATCACGTCAGATAATGATGTCATGTGCAGTGCAATTCCCTTCTGTAACTCAGTGAATAAATAATGGTATGAAACATGCTTCGGATGCTCTTTGAAATGAAAGAAGTCAAGTACGCAACATTTGTAAAACTTGGCCAAAGCTAACGAAAAGGTAGGGGAAATGCAAAAACACAATAAGAAGACAAAGTCATCAATATCCCCCGCAATGGCAAAATACTCTTCATGATTATGTCTACGAGTTATGATTATGTCAAATATTTAGGTGTGTATATAGAAAAGTGGAAGGAGAGTATTTCAAACTTGTTGCCATGGAAACGCCAAAAAATGTTTTATTCAGAATTCCAAAACTGCCAAAAGGCACCAGTACACCACCAGATCTATCTATGTGCCAAGTTTGGTGAAGAAATATTGAACGTTTTTAGAGTTCTGCTCCGGAAAAGACAAATGTGCACGGACGGACGGACGGACGCATGGACGGAGTCCATTTTAATAACAAGTTGGAGTGTAGCGGCAAAACACCAACAGGAAATGAGTGTGCAACATGAATTGTTGGGCTGTGAATGTGAGTGGTTTTCATTTGTCTGTCATCACACTTGTACAGCAAGTGAGAAGTGATGCCACGACTGACAGAAGCTCAACACAACACCATTGACCAATGCCGACAGAAGACTCAGCTGTAACCATGTTTTTCTACATATCGCCAAACACAAATACAACACTGCAACAATTATTAGATGAACGGGTCAACATGTGATCTACCATGGGGCGGTGGGGTAGCCTGGGGGGGGTAAAGTGCTCGCTCGTCGCACCGAAGGCCTGGGTTCGATTCCCTACATGGGTACAATGTGTGAAACCCACTATTGGTGTCCCCCACCATGATATTGCTGGAATATTGCTAAATGCGGCGTAAAGCCAAACTCTCACTCATTCACTCAAATGTGATCTACCCAGATTTTGTCAGCCACGTGTCACAACTGCAGCTCTGGATAGGTTCACGGGTGTTCGTCACTTAGACTGACCATGTTTGCCTCTACAGCAACAGCAAAACCAGGATTTCAGCCCAGACAGCGAGGAACTGTCTATGCGCCACATGTATTCACTGAAGACGACCAGTTCGAGGTGTCATTCCAACTCCACAGCATCGTTGGCTGCGACGCCAGTGGTGTCATGGAAACAGAGTGTGTTCACATCAACGAAGGAAACATGTTTGGTAAGTGACGAGTCAATTTTTTTGCTTCTCCGTACAGGCGGAAGATGTTGTGTTTACAGATGTTTTAGTTTATGCTCCAAACTGCACATAAGAAGTGGACAGGTTTGGTGGTGGAATTGTAATGATGTGGGCCACCATCTTCCACACCAGTAGAGCAGAATTGGTACAATTTGATGGCACAACATTACACAAATGAAACTCTGCCACATGTCCTTCCCATTATGCAACAGTCTAACATCATTTTTCAACACAAGGTGAGGTGAGGTGAAATTGGGTTTAACATTGCTCTTGAGAATATTTCGCTCATATGACGATGTGCATGCGTGTGTATGTGTTTGTGCGGCTGCTTGTACTAGCCCAGACTTAAGCTGGTTTTATAGTGCTAGCCCACTGAGATACCATGCCGCAGTGAAGCATGAATACCCAACTCAGACACATTATACTGACTCCGAGCCGACCAGTCCTTGTTGTACCCTTTTCAACACAAGACTGACAATGGCGTTTTTGAGGAACCACAACATTCAAGTACTGCAAATGGCCCTCAAGGTCACCCGCCATAGAGCTGGAATATTGCTGAGTGCGGCGTAAAACTAAACTCACTCAAGGTCTACTCACACATATATGTGATCCTCTTGATCAACAGTCACAGAACAGGCACTGCAGGAAGGGGGGATGAACATTTTCCAGACCACAATTCGTAAACTCTGTCTGTGTGTGTGTGTGTGTGTGCGTGCGTGCGTGCGTGTGTGTCATATAAGATACTGAAAATAGATGACCTTCTCCTTCACATTCAACTGTTTAAATTTTGTGGCTCAATCATAATATATTATATCCAATACAACCAACGGAGTGAGTGAGTTTAGTTTTAAACTGCACTCAGCAATATTCCAGCTATATGGAAAGCCAACGAGCTTGATCCCCCGATCCCGTTAGTCGCCTCTTAAGGCATGCATGGTTGCTGAAGACAGATCTAACCCGGATATTCACAGGTAATTACTTTATGATGGTCTGTGAACAATCGAGTCGGGACCAGACAATCCAGAGATTGACATCATGAGCATCGATCTTCACAATGGTGATACAATGCCATGCATCAAGCAAGTTAGTCTGTCTCACAGTCCCTGAACCACATTATTTTCCCTACTGCCAAGCCCTCTCTGCAGTGATAAAGCCCTAAATAAAGCAAGTCTAGATTTCCTCAGGTTCAGGGTCTGTTAACACCTGCAAGACACTGAATAAACTCCAGTCAAAATGTGAAGACATGTTCAAGCATTCACTAAGTGATTCCCCTACTTCAAATAACAAATAAAGAACATACAGATTGGTCAAGTCATCTATAAAACTCGAAATTACCTATTTCATTGTAAACACAAAGCTCATCGATCACATTTTTCAAAACTACGTTTAAGTAATCATAAACTCAAAATTGAAACTGGAAGATATACAAAACCTGCAACCCCTTTAGAACAACGTCTCTGTGAAATGTGCAGTGTCTTAGACGATGAGCAACACCATATAATATCATGTACCAAGTATAACGAAGAAAGGGAATCACTTATACACACAATGCTTTATTATGACCAAGAATTTACTACACTCTCAAAAAAAAGAACAATTCCTAATAATTTTCACGAACAGAAGTCCTGAATTAATTTCCAAAATATGTCACCATCTTTACAACTTTAAATGAATTCTATATCTTACCATAGTCTCCTCATATATTATTTCCATGTCATTATACCACATGATTTCTAAAAAATTGTTATAATGTACATCATTTATGTGTGAAATGTATCTTTATTTCTTGTACCTACTGTGTAAATATTTGTAGCTTATAGAATATTGCCACTGTTTCTTCATGGAATGCTATGCAATAAATATCTTATCTTATCTCTTATCTCTTTGGGGGTCGGATTACAAAGTAAACATATCTAACTGCCATCCTCACCAGTGATCTGGAATCTTGCCTCACATTTTCATCTGTCAACTCTTAATTAACAAGCACATTGGGTGACATGAAGCTATAGTGGAGGCCTTGTGTACAGTTTCTGGTCTTGAAGAGACAAATCAAGCAAAATCTTGGGGAAAGGTTCCTCCTGAATGTTATGTTGTAGAAAGTATTGTTTCATTGCCTGACTCGGGTCCACACATAGCAGCCCAATTGTTAATGCGGTTAAGGTTTTAATTTTAATTAAAACAAGGGTTATTTTTCTTATTCCTGATATAGGATTATTGTGTGAAACTCTGTTGTGTTTTGAGTATCTCACTTGATCTAATTGCTCAACAGTAAAACTCTGTGTCAACATATGGCAGGGACCTATTTGTGCACAGGTTCAATCTGATTGATTTGATCAAGGCATTACTATCGCTCCTTTGTTCATATGCCAGGATATGTTTCAGAAACAGATATTTGTTTTGTGTTAGCAAATTAAACACAGTGAATTTGAACAGAAATGAAGATATCGAGAAAGACATAAAAGTAGGACTTGAAAAACTATGAATAGAAGAAATACGTCCAAACCAACGAATTGGTATCATGTCTTACCTGAAGGGAAATGACATGCTGTACTGTTACCTAACTGGGAGATGTAAAGCTTTGACATTTGAAATTGTACCATTTGTTTCACAAAACAAACGAAGCAACAGTAACCGTAGCACTCATGAAGAGTGAGTGAGTGAGTTTGGGTTTACACCGCATTCAGCAATATTCCATATATGGAGGCAGTATGTAAATAATCGAGTCTGGACCAGACAATCCAGTCATCAACAGCATGAGCATCAATCTACGCAATAGGGATACGATGACGTGTCAACCAAGTCAGCAAGCCTGCCCACCCAACCCCGTTAGTCACCTTCTCATGAAGAACCAGATTGAAAAGGCACAGCATCTCGGAATTAAATCTGTTTACCTTCGTGATGTGATTGAGGCATGCAAGGTGAAATCTAGTGAGGATGATCTAGTATCTAGAAATACCCAGAACATCTTCAAGCATAAGACAGACACTGGTCTTTTCACTTCTATTAAACAGTTTGTTTAAAAAATATCCTCTTCGCATATTATACAAATGAAAACTTTTGAATTTGGACATTAATTTTCTTGGTGTTCCAGATAGATCTTGCACCTTGGTCATCTAGTCTCCAAATGACATTGTTGGCTGCAAGATTCCCAACTGTAAAATGTTAGGCAGTAGAGGGGCTGGACTGGCCCACATGAGTTGATGACATAATGGAGATAGGACAAGGCTTAACACGATGGCCAATAAATATGCCTGTCACTTATACCGTTATCTGATGGTTGTATGATGTGACTTCTAATTGGTAATGACCCCAGCCAGTGTAGCCCCAATGCAGATGTTCTTAGTCTCTGAATCTCTGGTCCTTCTAGGGCTCCTTTTCAATTTAAATGGGCTTGTTTGTTACTATCAAAATTATATATATTCAGAGACTAAGCATTAGTCTACAAGCAAGTCAGCAAGTCTGACCACCTGATCCTGTTAGTTGCCTCTTATGTCAAGCACCAATTCTAATCTGGATCTTCAAAGGTGCATAAATACTAGTAAGCAATCTGCAAAGTTAATTGCAATTATTAAAAAGAAATCACACCAGGTGTTTTTATGTCCGTAGTTATAGCGGTACAAACTGATGTTCACGATGTGCATAGCATTTTTGGCATTTGCACCTCCATTAACACAAACAAAAATGTAATATTTTTTATATAACATTATCTAATAATAACAATTATTGTTACAACTCAACTTTTTTTAATCAAAGCATATTCTTGTTGCAGCAACAGAATGACAAAAGAACAAACGAGTACAGCCGTGTATCCAGTATTTATGTTGACTTTTGTCATTTTGCCTACCAGCTATACGCATCTAGTACGCATGCTCATGACGTCACTTCCGTAAACAACTCAGAAACTACCTATGACGTTTAAGACTCAAGTCAAGGGTAGTCATGGTGCTACACAAGCGAGCGACATTTTATATGCAGACTATTAAAACAGTTTTATATTGAAGTTTTTACTTACGATAGATGACGTCACGTCGTGGATGACGTAACTTTCAGGAATAATTTGCAACCACGTTTCGTTGACAGATACCTTGATCAGCTGTTACGTTTCTGTTGACAGTATTTACAAGGTGTGTTTCTTTCATTTGACACAGTGACAGCAAACGAGGGGGTATTTAGTTGGATCCGTCTTCTTTTATTTTAGATGAAGGGTTATTTGAATTGATTTCAAGTTCGATGCATTATACCACGAAAACTGAGCACTCACAACATTAACACGTCGAATAGCGCGCGAGATCATGGAGTACACGCGAGAATCTAGCATATACTATTTTCCCACAACTAATTACTGTTATGTTGTCAAATCGGTAGTCTACTGATCATACTCTGAAAAAAATTATACGTTTGGGAGGATCCTTTCGTTGATTTATTAGTTCAGTAAACAGATGAATTCATCGTCGTAGTGCTGTTTTGACAATGGAGTAATCGCGCTAAGATGCGCTGAACATAACCATTTCTTTTTGTCTTAAACATCAAATACTAGTGTGGCAGAAACAGCATTTTAAAATCTAGACAATAATACGAGTGGATGCTTGACGAAAAAACATTCACGTGATTATTTCTAGAATCAATGAATAGCTAGTATTGTTACGCAGAAGCACAAAGACACATTCGATCTTTAGTACATACACCTAGTCCTATATGACAGCAGAACATAAGTATTTTATTAACAAAGATTATTTTTTTAAAATACAACTCTGGGAAGCTCCTTTCCACATATGTATTTCACACCAGGAAACACATCAAACAAGATTTTTATTGTGTACTAAACGAATGTGTACACCATATGTTCGTCTATAGGAAAATATGTAGATAATTTGGACTTGGGGAAGTCTCAACTCACATGATAAATATTACGTCATGAATGGAATTAAAGTGTTTAAATATGTGCGTCGGAAAGGCATTACAATTCCGTTTCAGTGTCTTTGGGTTTTTTTTAGAAAATATTATTATAAGTTACGTACTGTCTGTGTTTGTTTAATGTAAACAGATGTTTTGCATGTTATTAACTGCAGACATTACTCAATATCCTATTAATTGTCAGTTACTGATACGTGGTGTCCCATGGGTAATAATGAAATCTACGAGTGTGGATTCGAGAATGACATTCATCATGTTTCTGGGCCTATCGGCACCATACCCGGGTCCTTCTCACCACAGTGGCAGTCGTCTGAGACCTGTACCCCTATCGGCACCATACCCGGGTCCTTCTCACCACAGTGGCAGTCGTCTGAGACCTGTACCCCTATCGGCACCATACCCGGGTCCTTCTCACCACAGTGGCAACCGTCTGAGACCTGTACCACTTTGGTTTGGTTCTTGTTTTACGCCGCACTCAGCAATATTCCAGCTATATGGCAGTGATCTGTATATAATCGAGTCTGGACCAGACAATCAAGTGATCAACACCATGAACATCGATCTACGCCATTGGGATACGATGGCATGTGTCAACCAAGTCAGCGAGCCTGACCACCCGATCCCGTTAGTCGGCTACTACGACAGGTATGAGCTGCTGCAGATCAATTCTAACCCGGATCTTCACAGTTGCTGACACCATTCAAGACAGGTTAAACCAAATTTCAAACAAGTGTCCTGGGTAAAAGCTTGCTTGATGATATCTAATTCCCTCCCTCAAACACCAAAAATGATATCGCCGAGTGGGGTTTACAGTTAATCTTTCAAAAAGGCACTGGTCAGACCCTCACTAACCGAAAACGTTACCCGACGTCACCGTTTTACGTTTGATCCATCCTCGTTTGTCCAAGGAATTATATCTTCCTGGTGTGGTAATAGAAGGGAGATATGTTACAGTAGGTAGTCGATGACGGTCTCGAGGATGCTTTTATCGCAGTGTCTTTAAACAGCACCAATGAGGTATTGCGAATGTTTGGTAAGAATAATACTTGATTATACTTGTTGAATAATCCCTTAAATGGTAATATCCACATTGACGGATCCAGAGGGGGGTTCAGGGGGTTCGAAAACAAACCCCACCCCACCCACCCCCGGCCGCGCTTTGACGTTTTAGCCTATATACTGGTATATTTGTTCACTGACCGTGTGTGATTTTACGACGCTTTAGGACTATTTAAACAGTAACACAACGCGTGGATTTACACAAAAAGTCCATTTTGGAAATCGAAGCCGGTGACGAGCGAATACTTCAACTACTGCAGGCCGACTCGGTATATAATGTCAGGAGTTCTTCTTTGAGAGGCAATTTAGAAGTTGTATAGATGAAGGAGAAACCAAGTTCTATTGATATTCAACTTCTTTATTGCAATGTGTGCGACGTTTCGGTGTAGGTACTATAGGTACTAACACCGTTATCAAGCAAGTGATACAAAAGAGTTGTATCATGGAGAATATATACATAGCTGCAAAGTGTGTATATACAATTGACATGGTTGATACACATTGGATTGCTAATTAGTGATTTGAGCAGGGTAGGTTGATGTACATATCAGGAGGCTGAACGATTTATGTCAGAGCGCGCAAATTTGGATCAAATGCTCAATGTCAAGAAACATTTTGTTCAGTAGTTGACAATATATGTGTCTCAGTGTGAATAGAAATGTTTATTTAATGTGCATCACTCCGTCGTATATGGGTACCCGGTAGGATGTAATGATTGTTGATATCAACTTGTAGATGGTACTCTGGTGATATAATAGCTGTGGCTGTTGACGGATATTTATGGTGGCGTATTTGACCTCGTTAAGCCAAAGATAATAAACAATTAAATAACGTCTATATCCACGCACTTCTGCATGCTCAGAGCGCCAAGACATCATTACCCCCGTTAAATCAAGTTGTCTGTGAGGAGCTAAAAGGTTAAAAGCCATATGACTTATCCCACCGGGTACCCATTCACTGCTGGGTGAAGAAAGGTAATTTTTAGTTGATGAAGTGTTCCTTCGAGACTAATGAGATATTTTACATTAGGACTTCCATGCATCTTTCGTTGTGTTTGAAGATGTCAACGGTGTACATTTTGTCTTGATGAATAAAATCGGGTGAATTTACCAGAAAACTGACGAAAACAATAATTTCGAATTTCAACAGACCCTATGTGTTGAAGACATTTTCTCCAGCTGTAAGTTTAAAAATACAAACAATTCTTTTAGAGCATTTTATGATGATTTGTATGGAGGAGCTACGTGTTCAAGATGAATGACCCCCTTCCCCTCTAAAGTTAGCGCCCCCTCATGTACAAAATCAATTACACTCCCCCCTCACGCTTGATTTTCCTGTGATCCTTTATTTGTTTCTCTCAGTATATGACACCAAAGTACATGTGTACAAAATTGATGACATTGTCGTCGCAATTATCACTTGACCTTCAGTAACCGTTTTAGAAAGATGAAATATGTGACGTTTGCTGAGCGCCCTTTTAGTTTGCATTAGTGTTTAGGGAAATACTTCCACTTTTCCGGACTCGAGAGTTATCTCATCTTCGCTAAATCCTCTCGGGCTGACGATTTTTTTCATCTGCACATTATTCTGCACCTCGTGAGTACATGTACACCGACAATAATCATCTGTGTAAGCTAAATAAACAGGAGACTACAACACAGGGACTTCAACAGGATCATGTTCAATGCACGATCGTTTTACACTCATTGCGAAATGTCAATTTGGGGCCCTGTTAGGGTGTAATATTATTAGCACACCGAGTGGTTCATGACAGAAGACACTACCCGAGCGGTTTTGTCGCTCTGGAACCAGTTTTAGACCGACATAATTCTGGTACTATTCTTAGGCGATGCTTGTACCTGAACGGATACATGCTCCGTCTATATTTTAATGCATACGAGTGCCGAACAAAGTGATAACCATTGCATGAACATATTTTACATCTGTTTACATTATTTCAACTAGTTCATACGTCATTTGCGAAATCACAACTAAATATGATGTCCATGCGTATTGGTAGAACTAAATTAAATCATATGAGTTTGCACCAATATAGTTGGCAATGTCTCAAGAGATGTGACAATGTCAGGTTTTCCTCGTGTTCCCAGTGTATCACATCTCCATTCTAAAGTTTTAATTGCTGCATCAGTTCTGGAGTCCAAGTGGCTCTTGACAAGTAATACATTTTGGATCCAAGGTACATGAGGGTCCAAGGCTTGTGGTTTGTGTTCAATTCCCAAACAATACTGGATCCAACACTGAATCATTCCACATGCTCAGAAGTTTTAGCCTCTTATTGATGAGGTATCAAAGTTACATTTAAAGAATATCAGTCTTTGACATACTGAAGATTGAGTACAGCAAAGTAAAAATGTCATGGAACATGATATATACGATTCTGATATATCAAATGATACAAATAGCTATTTTTGTGGCTTGCAGTGTTAATTATTTGTACCATTTTCAATCTGTATGTATGTACATGGTATTATACACACTATTTTGTTTTTGATTAAATCCTGCGTTTCTCTGATGATATACATACGTCCCTGGCCCATATGTTATTTTATTACCCTTTAGATAAATTTGTCGAATTCTGATTGGTCGATAGCCAAAGTATACCAAACCATGTAGGTGGATTTGCCGGGTGTACGAACCGTACACCCGGTCAAATCTGTCATGTGACACATCACACGGGTTGTACGAATGACCTTGACCTTAGATGGAATGTGGCTGCCAAAAGGCTGATTGGTTCGAAATTTTAGAGTTGGCATATATAATTATGAGTATAAACAGAGTAATAAAATTGTTGTCATAATTTCTTATTTGTTTGTGTCAATAAATTTATCAAAAAAATAAAATGTTTCTGTATTTCACTTGTTTAACAAAACTTCAAATTCGATAATTTTTATCATAAACTAAGCCATCCCGAGTTATCTCCCTTTATGACAGATCAGGAAAAATCATGGCGAAACGTTTTGCGTCTCATTCTGCCGATGATTGAATGTTGTTGTTTAAAAATAAGGTAAATAAAAAGATCTTCAGGGTAATAAATTTGTCACACGGTGTTTTGAAAGGCTTCGTCCCAGGAAATACGGAATTAACAAGGGTCTTACACTTCCATACACCCTTTCAAAACCACTGTGTAACTAATAATGTCTTATTGTTAGTCAGTTGGAATGATTCAAATTAAAAAATACCTGTCCAATAAAATTTCAGGAATGAAACCATTGATGATATCATCAATACTCTACTCACCTTGTCAGAAATATATAACATCTTCTCTTCCATCATGATAAAATGTCATTTCCTGCTCAAATAGCACAGATAACGGTCTTCAGATTCAAGGGCTTGTTCTTTCAAGGTCATGATACTGAATATTAGGCCTGCTTACTATACATATGAATGAAGCATTTATTGCAAGTTTGTGAGTTACAGAAGTTTTCTATATTGTTAGTAGTCAGAGAGGTGGACTTTAAGGCTGCAATGACTCCACAAGGAGGTGCATATAACACATATCACAATATTAGGTAATAAATATGATTATTAGATAACCATTACAACGACAAGCCAGCAGTGGATGTGTTATTCAATAAATTCAGTGAAACAATAACAAAACAATCATTTGACATGTTCTGACCATATTGATGTCGAACCTGAAATTAACCTCTATTGTTTGGCTTGTTTTGAGTAGCATACGTTGTTCCCTCGTTGTTTACATGTGACTTTTTTCTCAACATGATCAGTGACCCAAAACTTTATCTCACTTATCATGCTTATCATATACTACTCCAGTGTTCACGAATGGTGTTTCAAAGTACATTGGGTCCTGTAAGTGTAAGATGTCTGTCTGACCCATTGAAAATTCACAGGACCCATGGAATAAAATTAAACACACATTTCAGATTTAACATTTCTTATAATTGGCATTGAAACTATTAACAAACATAAGATTTATAAACAGCAAACAAGTGACACATGTCACATATAACAACTTCAGTCAAAGTCATTGTGATTATTATATACAGTCGGACACTGGGGCGGGCGGGTTGTAGACTTCTATCGGACCGTTTGCGAATCTGCCGGATTTGTCAGAGGGTCAGACACTATTCGCTAACACTGCTACTCAAAATAACTTCCTTCAGTGGCATTTAGAAGCTGGTATGATGAAGAGAAACAATATTTATGAATAGACAGCTTCTTTATTGTAATAGTTGTGATGTTTCGGTGTACATGCTAACAGTGTTATCAAGCAAACATCTACACTAAAACATCTTAAACATCTCCACTGTTGCAACGAAGAAGTTGTCTATCCATAAGAATTGTTCCATAACTCATAAGAAGTTTAAAGGTTATTTCATACAGCCACATACAGGGTAGATATTTAAAAATGGGAGTCATGGTGACTCTCAAAATATATTTTTTGGGAGTCATTTTCAATATTTGGGAGTCATGAATATTTTAATATTTCTTTATGTTAATCATTCTCAGTATGTAACTGTGTATGTCACACCACCAAATGAAACTACAGCATTGTTCAATTCAAACAGTCAGGATTACTGTCTCCTCTGAAATCTCTGGAACAATCTGACAGCTCTGTAAAAGTCAAACTATCATCGCACAATATCTTTTTTTGCTTATCAAATCGATTTTATTGAACTGAATTGTGAGGGCCACCCATAAAATGTGCATCAAGCTTGACTCATATGATAATATTTTGAGAGTCGTTTACAAAATTGTTGCGTCAAATACGCAGGAATCAAGCGTCATGTAAAACCCTGCACATGGACTTGATCTAAAGTAACCCATGCTTGCCGTAAGTGGTGACTAACGGGATCGGTTGGTCAGGCTTGCTGACTTGGTTGACATATGTTATCGTTTCCTAATTGTGTAGATTGATGCTCATGATGTTGATCACTGGATTGTCTGGTCTAGACTCGATTATTTAGACCGCCACCATATGGCTGGAATATTGCTGAGTGCGGCATAAAACTAAAGTCACTCACTCACTCCCTCATACAGCTATATTTAATCGTTCATGGCAGGTAGTTATCTCATTGCTTGACTTGTTTTGAGTAGCATGAGTTGTTGTTTCAGTTGATGCTCATACAAGACCATGTCTCACCACTGGCCATCTTGTGACACGTTTGTTGCCCTTCCCCCAGCGACACAGAATGGTTGTGTGGTGTTCGGCAAGAACTCGGACCGGCCCCAGTCGGAGGTGCAGGAGGTGGTGTTTTATCCCGCCAAAGAAAACACAACTAACAAGCTTCAGGTATCCATAGCAACAATATATGGCAACAGAGTAAACAGTATTCTGGGATTAGTCTATATGCTCTCAATGTAATATACAGGTTAGAATTGGTCTTCAGTCACCCATGCTTGTCGTAAGACTTGGGATCAGGTGGTCAGGCTCACTGACTTGGTGGACACACGTCATTGTATCTCACTTGCGTAGATCGATGCTCATGATATGTTAATAACCAGATTGTCTGTTCCAGACTTGATTATTTACAGACAACCTTTGTATCTTACTTGCGTAGATCGTTGCTCATGATATGTTAATCACCGGATTGTCTGTTCCAGACTCGATTATTTACAGACAACCTTTGTATCTAACTTGCGTAGATCGATGCTCATGATATGTTAATCACCGGTTTGCGTGTTCCAGACTCGATTATTTACAGACCACCTTTGTATGTTACTTGCGTAGATCGATGCTCATGATATGTTAATCACAGGATTGTCTGTTCCAGACTCGATTATTTACAGACCACCTTTGTATCTTACTTGCGTAGATCGATGCTCATGATATGTTAATCACAGGATTGTCTGTTCCAGACTCGATTATTTACAGACAACCTTTGTATCTTACTGGCGTAGATCGATGCTCATGATATGTTAATCACCGGATTGTCTGTTCCAGACTCGATTATTTACAGACCACCTTTGTATCTTACTTGCGTAGATCGATGCTCATGATATGTTAATCACAGGATTGTCTGTTCCAGACTCGATTATTTACAGACCACTTTTGTATCTTACTTGCGTAGATCGATGCTCATGATATGTTAATCACCGGATTGTCTGCTCCAGACTCGATTATTTACAGACAACCTTTGTATCTTACTTGCATAGATCGATGCTCATGATATGTTAATCAACGGATTGTCTGTTCCAGACTCGATTATTTTATTATCTTGCGTAGATCATGATATATTAATCACCGGATTGTCTGTTCCAGACTTCGATTATTTTGACAACCTTTGTATCTTACTTGCGTAGATCGATGCTCATGATATGTTAATCACAGGATTGTCTGTTCCAGACTTCGATTATTTACAGACCAACCTTTGTATCTTACTTGCGTAGATCGATGCTCATGATATGTTAATCACCGGATTGTCTGTTCCAGACTCGATTATTTACAGACAACCTTTGTATCTTTTGTATCTTACTTATCGTAGATCGATGCTGTTCTGATACCACCTTTGTATCTTATCATCGATGCCATGATATGTTAATCAATGGATTGTCTGTTCCAGACTTCGATTATTTACAGATAACCTTTGTATCTTACTTGCGTGAGATCGATGCTCATGATATGTTAATCACGGATTGTCTGTTCCAGACTCGATTATTTACAGACCACCTTTGTATCTTACTTGCGTAGATCGATGCTCATGATATGTTAATCACAGGATTGTCTGTTCCAGACTTCGATTATTTACAGACCACTTTTGTATCTTACTTGCGTAGATCGATGCTCATGATATGTTAATCACAGGATTGTCTGTTCCAGACTCGATTATTTACAGACAACCTTTGTATCTTACTTGCGTAGATCGATGCTCATGATATGTTAATCACCGGATTGTCTGTTCCAGACTCGATTATTTACAGACCACCTTTGTATCTTACTTGCGTAGATCGATGCTCATGATATGTTAATCACCGGATTGTCTGTTCCAGACTCGATTATTTACAGATAACCTTTGTATCTTACTTGCGTAGATCGATGCTCATGATATGTTAATCACCGGATTGTCTGTTCCAGACTCGATTATTTACAGACAACCTTTGTATCTTACTTGCGTAGATCGATGCTCATGATATGTTAATCACCGGATTGTCTGTTCCAGACTCGATTATTTACAGACAACCTTTGTATCTTACTTGCGTAGATCGATGCTCATGATATGTTAATCACAGGATTGTCTGTTCCAGACTCGATTATTTACAGACAACCTTTGTATCTTACTTGCGTAGATCGATGCTCATGATATGTTAATCACAGGATTGTCTGTTCCAGACTCGATTATTTACAGACAACCTTTGTATCTTACTTGCGTAGATCGATGCTCATGATATGTTAATCACCGGATTGTCTGTTCCAGACTCGATTATTTACAGACCACCTTTGTATCTTACTTGCGTAGATCGATGCTCATGATATGTTAATCACAGGATTGTCTGTTCCAGACTGGATTATTTACAGACAACCTTTGTATCTTACTTGCGTAGATCGATGCTCATGATATGATAATCACCGGATTGTCTGTTCCAGACTCGATTATTTACTGACCACTTTTGTATCTTACTTGCGTAGATCGATGCTCATGATATGTTCATCACCGGATTGTCTGCTCCAGACTCGATTATTTACAGACAACCTTTGTATCTTACTTGCATAGATCGATGCTCATGATATGTTAATCACCGGATTGTCTGTTCCAGACTCGATTATTTACAGACAATCTTTGTATCTTACTTGCATAGATCGATGCTCATGATATGTTAATCACCGGATTGTCTGTTCCAGACTCGATTATTTACAGACAACCTTTGTATCTTACTTGCGTAGATCGATGCTCATGATATGTTAATCACCGGATTGTCTGTTCCAGACTCGATTATTTACAGACAACCTTTGTATCTTACTTGCGTAGATCGATGCTCATGATATGTTAATCACCGGATTGTCTGTTCCAGACTCGATTATTTACAGACCACCTTTGTATCTTACTTGGGTAGATCGATGCTCATGATATGTTAATCACCGGATTGTCTGTTCCAGACTCGATTATTTACAGACAATCTTTGTATCTTACTTGCATAGATCGATGCTCATGATATGTTAATCACCGGATTGTCTGTTCCAGACTCGATTATTTACAGACAACCTTTGTATCTTACTTGCATAGATCGATGCTCATGATATGTTAATCACCGGATTGTCTGTTCCAGACTCGATTATTTACAGACAACCTTTGTATCTTACTTGCGTAGATCGATGCTCATGATATGTCAATCACCGGATTGTCTGTTCCAGACTCGGTTATTTACAGACCATCGCCATATAGCTGGAATATTGCTAAGTGCAGTCTTAATCAAGAAACAAGCAAACTCAATATAATGGTCTGCTGGGAATTTGCTTCTAGATAAACAGAAATGAAATGTTTATGATTTGTAAACAATAAGTCTTCATGGAATCGGCAGTATTCTGTCAAATGGTTTTCAAAAGAAAGATATTGATGAAAGATATTGTTCTGTGTTCAGGTATATTGGATAAACAAAATGTGACAAGTTTCCTTATTATTTGCCACTTGTGAAGATACGGGTTAGAATTGGTCTAAGGCAACCCATGCTTGCCCAGAAGAGGCGACAAACAGGATTGAGTGGTCAGACTTGCTGACTTGGTAGACACATGACGTTGTACACCATTTTTATTGATTGATGCTCATGCTGTTGATCACTGGATTTTCTGGTCCCAACTTGATTATTTTCAGACCGTCACTGTATAACTGGAATATTGCTGAATGCGGTGTTAAACAAACAAACAAACAAACAAGATTATTTACTGTGTTCAGGTATATTGGATAAAAACAATCAAACAATATTCCTCACTATTTCTATAGTGTAACCTAAAATACAGACAGAAATAAATTCTCAGATGTTTTCAAAGTTGATAGATAAAACAGTAAAATCTGGAACGTGATATTTCCTGCACATAGTTATCTCCCCTTATGTATCACTACAAAATGGCAGCATCGGACCAGAGCTGGTAATACTCTCTTACGTTTGAAGAAAATGGACTCCACATGTATACTTTGTGTCAGCTGTCAAACACTTTAGCTCTTAACCCTTTCAACACCGCAGGCCGCTTAAGCGGCCACAACGTTATGAGTCCCCAGACACCGCAGGCCGCTTAAGCGGCCAGGCAGTAGTCACGTCAAAATCAGACATAATTTCAGGAACCTACCTGACTTATGATTCATATATTATATCTATCACATTTCACAATGTCTGAAAACACTTATTAAATTTCAATTTATCATATATTATCAGCAGAATTAAAATTATAAACTATTTTTCGCAATGTTATTGAAAACAACGATTCTCGGACACATGCTTCGGCAGCGGGTCCACAATAACGTTGTCAAAGAGCAAAGTAAAGATGTTTCGAGGAATTCATTAAATAAATTGAATAAACTAATGAATAAAATCAACAACAGCATTCATAAAAGTTGTCAAACGTACATATAAAATTACTATTTCCATCTTTTTGTGCGATCATGTAATGTAAGTCAAGTCACTGACAACTGACATCTCGGCTCGTACGCCTCAATCTTCACGCCGGACACGATGTTTAATGCGAAAATATGTACATGAAGCATTTTTGTCATAGGTCATAACCTAGCACGATACGTCCAATAGGTTCCATAATTTACGTATATGTAGCGATTTCTTGCTTAATATGTTCAAAATAGCGTTATTTTACCCAAAACTTTCGTCTAAATCTGGAGATTTTCGTTTTACGAGGACGGTATCCATTGCCGTAATATGATTGGCTGCCTCATGTCACGTGTCTGATTTTGACCAATCCGACCCTTAAAGCAGACTGTAGCGAAAAGGCGTCATTAGAAACCAATTTTTATCCAATAAAATAAGCTTCTTACAACTGTGAAAATACTCTCGGCAAGGGTTCAGTGATGTTGTTGAGGTTCAGAGCTTTCGAACGATACCGACATCAAGCGATTAAGCCTCCCATGTTTTCATCATGAAGCTTCAAAACGGAGGTATTTTCGTTGTTATGTCATGTTACCGGCGAGAAAGCCACAGATATAGGGAAATAGGGCGACCATACATATTATTTAAGAAATCTTTTATAATAATTTTCTGATTACGTAAAAATGAAAATATGAAAAGAAAAACGCACGGACATGTTATGACATGTCACAAATTGAAAATAATCGCCATAGTTTTTGCTTCCTTCGTGGTTTATCGGGAGGTTATAAATGTAAGCTTGCATTTTCATTAAAAAATTATTTTATTTAAGTTGTAGTTGTATTATTTGAATAATATTATAAAAATAAACGTCATATTTATCAACAGTAGGATTAGATCTTTTAAATGGTGTATGGGATGTAGTAGCAATAACGTTTTACAAGCTTATAATTTCCTTCATAAACATAGGCTTCATCTGTGACCTCAGAGTCTCTGGGAACTCGGTGTCATGGCACTAAATGCCTCTGGTTGACTGGTGTTGAAAGAGTTAATATTATACTGGTCTCATGGGGGGATTTGGGCTGATGTACCTTCGATGTTTGTTTGTTCAACCCATGGGCCCCGAGGAACCAGTGAACAACGTATTTATCTTACCGAACACCTCAATGGTAATTTTGAACTGTTTGAAGCACGTTTATCAGATCATAGTATGGAATACCAGACGACAAGACATGAAAACAAATTTAGAGTTATCTCCCTTCCATCGAATTTGCATTCGCAAAACATAGGTAAGTTTAGTTCATCATATGTGATTCAATGTTATTCAAAATGAAGAATTACTACTACGAAGTACTTAATGAGTTCGTCATTCCCAGCGGGGTACATAGAAAATGTTACTCGCTTGTAAGCGGGGTACATTGAAGATAATAGAAGAACGCTCAATCAATCAGAAAACAACATTTTGTGTGAGGCAAGATAAATTGCAATACGTACATCGTATTGCAGTGTTTTGGTCAATACACTGCCCTTGTATACAATATTACATGGAACTCTAACACAGCAAGAGCTCACTGTTAGAATATTATCTGCAGAGATTTTGCTGGAAAAAAAATGCAATGCATTTTCATGATTTTGATCAGTTATTCATAGGTCATTCTTTTATATCATGACTGAATTTGAAAAATATCTTGAAAGAATTTTGGAAGACAAACGGTCAGTGTCCTAGATTATCAACCAGTCTTAGGCCCTGTGCATATTTCATTTGATTGTGATATATCTGTGAATGTTTTCTGTGCATGTAGTAAGACGTGGAGTCATCCCACAGATGACATCTTTACCTTGTCAGACTCGGAAAGTTAGCAGCCGCTACATTTGCGCCCAAGTGGGGCTGAGCATGTTAATGTTAAAGTCTCAGTACCCTGCTATGCGTCCAAGGACATGCCTTCTGTTGACGGAGGAGTATGTTGCAGGGTGTGGAGTCATCCCACTGTTGACATCTTTATCTTGTCAGCTTTCTGAAGGGTTAACCTCTTTAGTCATTAGGACAAGGCGTCCAGTCGGATGGTCCGTGGTTCGAATCCAAACAAGAGACTCAGAAATTTTATGGTCGCTACGTGAACATTAAAGTAATACTTATATTCCAGTGTACTTACATCGAGATCGACGAGGTTCCCCAGACACATGCCGTGATCCTCAGTAAGCCAGCGTGGATGTGGGGTGCAGAGATAGGGGCCAATCAGTACGGAGTGTGCATCGGGAATGAAGCAGTGTGGGATAAACTCAACAGCCCGGAGGATCTCACAGAGAGGCTGCTTGGGATGGATCTCGTCAGGTAGTGGAAGCGTCTACACCCTGATACTATTTGTCTTGCAACTATTCATTGATTTGGATTCTCATCTTGTAGCATTGGATGGACCTTGTAGGGTAGGGGCAGTTTCTACACCCTGATACTATTTGGCTTGCAGCTAATCACTGATTCTGATTCTCATCTTTGTAGCATTGAGTGGACCATGGAGGGTAGGGGCAGTTTCTACACCCTGATACTATTTGTCTTGCAACTAATGATTGATTTTGATTCTCATCTTTGTAGCATTGGGTAGATCTTGTATCTTTGTCAGTGTTTGTAAATGAGAAGGGATGGTAAGAGGGGTTAATATCATGTCCCATGTTTTACAAATCAAAGTTTCAAAGGATCGTTAAGTTCCCCATGCATCTGCATGCTACACATGATAAGTGGGCTTCAATATTGCAATAGAAATACAGGTGGTCAAGTGATGAGTTTGCTAAGTTTTGGCATGGCCAGCAAGTGGAGATGTAACAATATGGTGAGGCTGCAATACAATACGAATCCCAATAATATGGATGTGATACATTGCTGGAATATTGCTAAAAGCGGCATAAAAGTAAATTCACTCACTCGCTTACACTGATCTTATTCAGACTTGGTCTTGAGCGAGCAATGTCAGCACGGGAGGCAGTGGACGTGTTGACGTCGCTGCTTGACAAGTATGGCCAAGGGGGTCCATGCAGCGAGCAGACAGGGATGACGGACTGGGCGTACCACAACAGCTTCCTGATAGCTGACAGGAAGGAGGCTTGGGTGCTGGAGACTGCAGGGACATTGTGGGCAGCCGAGCATGTCACAGGTAACTAGGGATGTAACGATGCATCCAACTATCGATGGCATGCAATTGTTGTCTCCGATAGCAATTCATCGATGGTAGAAATGAAAAACTATTGATGCATCGATAGTATGTGTGACTATCAATAGTTCAGTAATTGACTTCCGTTGATAAATGCGCAGCACAAAATACACGGATGTTTGGGTGCAGACTTTCAGCTTCATTGAGTTTATGCTTTAACTGTTTACTTGATCTGGGTTTCAAGTTTCTTGTTGGTTATTAAAAGACACTGAAACTTCTTCAATTATTTTTTATTTCATATAAACTATACATTAATTTGGAAAATGACTTCAAATGAGGAGAAAAAAACTATTGCCATATTTGGTCGCAATAGTTGGTTGCAACAGACTATCGCTATCACAGTAGTTGTTTCCCCCTCAATGGCAACCCTACAGGTAACTCCAAGGATAGGACCTGTGTGTTCTTGACGTCTGTGACTGTTCATGTGCATCTTCGTGAATGATAGAAGTAAACGCTTGCAACGGGTCATAATGGCAGCTGAATTTAGGGTTTCATTGCTTTTGTCATCAACATTTCACAGAATGTTTATGTTTTCATGTATGGAAGTATATGAAAAAACCCCAGGGTGCACACTTTGTATGGTACTCAAACGAGCTACACCCTACCTGACCTCTTCCATTCATGTACAATATGTTATCAGTTACCTGCTGTTGTTGATGTGAATCTGATGTTTGTCACAACCCACCATGTAAATATACTTCTCATAACTTGGTTATATCACCTTTAGCTTGATGGTGTAAGAATCTACATTGAAATGTCGCTCTATGCAATGATAGGTGAGTTGAAATTGGGTTTAACGTCGTGCTTGAGAATATTTCGCTCATATGACAACGTGCATGCGTGTGTATGTGTATGTGCGGCTGCTTGTACTAGCCCAGACTTTAGCTGGTTTTATAGTGCTAGCCCACTGAGATACCATGCCGCAGTGAAGCATGAATACCCCACTCAGACACATTATACTGACTCCGAGCCGACCAGTCCTTGTTGTACCCATTATTGCCGAAGCGCCAGACAGGGACCAACAAGTACCATATTTTAACGTCTTTTGGTATGACGAGGTCGGGGATCGAACCCTATGCAGTGATAGTAATTTCAATCCACTGGATATTTCTCATTACAGAAGGGGTAAGGAATATCTCTAACGAGTTCAGTATCGGTACAAAGATCGACCTCTGTTCCCCTAACCTTCGTGAGGAGCTCAAGACACTTGGACTGTATGATGGGTCTGGCGAGCTGAACTTCACAGCAGCAGTGAGTGAAGGGGGCGCCACTGCAGCTCTCTGCAAGTCGCATCGCTACACGAGGGGAAGGAAGCTCTTACAGACACTTTCAGAAAAGGGTAGGAATATGTCTGATGGTTTAAACATACTTACATTTCCAAAAGAAACAGGATTGGTAAACAAGCATCAATACGTTTATCAATACTGCTCTGTTATCAGTGACCAATAAGAAGACAGATCTAACTAAAGGCACTTGTGAGTTTGTAGTGCCATGGTGAGTTAGTTAAAATTTAACACCGTATCAGCATTATTTAAGCCATGTAGCGACTCAGCAGTGAGAAAATGTATAAGTATTAAGGCTGTAACGATTCACTCACGTATTCGGTGAATCGAACCATAGCCCTTCATGAGTTCAATTCGTTATTCGTGGTCACCAGAACCGAATATTAACGAATATTTACGATTTTTTTAAAGGAGCACGTTTTACTTGAACCCTTATGTCCTAAAGTGAGATATACAAGAATGGAACATGTTCTAGCATTGCAGTAGTGCAAGTCATGTTAGTTTGCCAAGACTACACATGGTACTGTCAAATATAACGATAACATACCAAATTTGAGTGTCATGAGATCACTGGTTATTGCTGGGACAAATCAAAACTGTCAACATGGACAATATTGTATTCGTGAATAATTATTCGTATTCGTTACCCAATATTCATGATACGTATCATATTTGCCACATAGTGTTTTTGTTGCAGCCCTAATAAGTATCATCATTGAAATCTTTTGCTTTTTATGATAACATGTCACATGTCTGATTTAAATATGTCTAATTAACTTTTGAACAACACAAACAAAATATGTTATGTGAGAAATTGGTGGGACATACAAGTTTTTATGAGCTGAATGTGTATACTGCTAGAACATTCAGCTTGTAAAATCCCATACACCCTGTTAGTGACACAAGTTACGCCCAGGGCTCCATTTCACAAAATCATTGTTGCACTGAGATGATCTTATCTCTGAATTATTGTCGTAAAATTATGACAGACATAGTGCTAGGATGATCGTAACTCACATTCGTTATCATAGAGACCCGTGAAGGTCCGGGTTAGAATTGATCTTCAGTAACCCATGCTTGTCATAAGAGGCGACTAACAGGATCGGGTGGTCAGGCTCGCCGACTTGGTTGACACCTGTCATCGGTTCCCAACTGCGCAGATCGATGCTCATGTTGTAGATCACTGGATTGTCTAGTCCAGACTCAATTATTTGCAGACCACCGCCATATAGCTGGAATATTGCTGGGTGCGGCGTAAAACTAAACTCACTCATTCACTCATCATAGACCTATGACAGTCGTAGCGCCAAGATGATCGTAACACTCATTCTTTATCATTGATTTTAGACTGTCATAGAGTAAGGATGATTGTACCCCCTATGACAGTCTCAGTACTACAGTCACTTTGTGGAATGGAGCCACATATTGCACAGTGATACCCATGACTCTACAAGAAAGATGCTGTTTGCAGGTACCTTTGGCGCCCCAGAGATGATGCAGATCCTCCGTGACGAGGACAGTGGTTTCTGTATGACTGGTGCGTTCACCTCGACAGGAAGTCAGGTGTCAGTTCTCTCCCCTTCCGAATCCTCCATGCTGCCTTGTCACTGGTTTACAGCAACGCCCAACCCTCTGCGTAGCGTATACAAGCCCTTTGTGTTCACCCCCGACACTGTTGACATTGGTACCCAGACAAAATCTCCTGACTACGGCCAAGATGATCCAGCGCGAAGAATCCCAAGGTTTCAAGGACAAGTTAATCGACAGCATGAGCTACACAAGGGCCACAAGCAGTTCTGTGAACAGTTGGATACGGAGGATGCAAATGCTAAGGAAGTTCTGCAGAATCTGAAAAGCCTAGAGACGAAATGCCTGGAGGACATGAAAGAAATGCTTGAACGCTTTGATGGCAAAAATTTCACAGAACTTGCAAGTGTTTTCCCTACTGTTGTGACACAGGAACTGAGTTTGTACAAGTAAACTTAATTCGTAAATGAACTCTGGTCGTCAGAACCTAAGGGTGTTGAAATCATTATAAAAAGCTAAGGAGACAATCCTATCAACAAAGGAACCAGGTTGCCATTGGTCATAGATGCCATAAAGTACGAGGCACTTGTCTCCCCTAGCTTGCAAGATCTCCTGATTGTTTTGATATCAAGTAAATTCAAGGTTCATCTAAGACCTTGGAATGATCGGTGTGGGTTCCACCAAAATTGTCGGCATCTACGGCCTGTTTCACTTTGAGATTTCTCCCCACTGCGTGTAAGAAGCTGGTTAAGTATTGTTCAAAACATCCTTGTTCACCATCAAAGCGTCAGACTGCATTACAAGAAAGTGATTGAAAAAAGGAAGATGTTGATTATTAAAGGATCTTTATATTTAATCAACAGAGACTGAAAAGTGATGACTTTTTGAAAGACATCTAACTGATGTGTATTTTTAACAGGTATGGTAACACAGTGATACATTTAGAAACCTGTTTCAACTTACCCTTATTTTTCAGGGTTAGTGAAACTTACTGACAGCTCTTGGTGGTGCTGTAGCCATATGATGGTGTATCATAACGAAATCCTGGTTCATTTCCTAACATAGGTACAACGTTTCAAGCCAATTTCTGGTGTCCCCACGTCCGTGTTGAGAGTAGTGTCAAACAATGTTTGCTCATGCAGCTATATTTCCCCAAATAATTTGGATACAGTTTAAAATTGCTGAAGCTGAAATAATGATTTCAGCATCCTGTTATCCAAGTCAATCAAAAGAAAGTAACATATGTTATATTTGGGATCTAACCCACTCAGCCAACTGGTAGTTTTACCGTATATTACCATAGATAAGCTGATCTCACAGATAAGCCAACCCCCTAACTTGACCCTTAAAATCAGTATCAAAATGGTATGTTTCGTACATAAGCTGACCCCCTGCGATGGGGTCCTAATCGCTGCCATCCCAGACCAAAAGACAACAGGCAGTTACCATCTTGGATGTAAAACGTAAGTATGTTTGGTGAGAATGGTATCTTATAGAGATTTTAGAGACCCCTTTTGTGGGAAACTGTGTTTGTTTTCTATTTTATATCATAACGATCACTGTTGGTATCAACGAAGAGATGGTAATTTTACTTGAAATGTTAAAAAAGAATGTTTCTATTAGCTGCAGGGAAATAATGTGTCGGTATATTTCGATGAGTGGGATAGACGGCTGACTTTGTGTGCTGGCAATTAGGTGCCTGACTGAGATTATGGGTTCAATCGGACTCAACCCCTAGATCTGACTGGACTCAACCCTAAAAGTACTAGAAACTGAAGCCAACTTTAACCACTTTACTGAGAAAGTGTAATCCCAAATATAACATGTGTTACATTTGACCACTTTCTAAATGATATTGTGTATTTAAAAGGAACGTAGTTTTGGATTAATTAAACAGCTCAACAATTGTACATGAAATCTTAGGCAAAGGGAGTTCTCTTTATGTAATGAAAATTAATATTTTATGAAATCCTAATAGTCAACAGTTTGAATGGTTTTCAACCACGACACTGTTTATAGCCAGATAAGAATATAATTTAAGATGGCTCTTAATATCTTATTGGTTGAGATTTCTTTAATAAAGATATATTACATTTTATGACCATTTTTGTCAACTGTACGATGCATTTACAAGTCTTTAAATGTGGATGTTGAATATTTTTCTATAATAACTACTAGTCATAATTTATTGTAGGAATGAAAATGGTAAAGAGTACCAACTGTGTGATGTAACAATGCACAACTGAGATTATTTACAAGAATTTTGCTATTTACAACTTTATAGACCAATCTTGTGACTGACCAAAGCTGTATGCAGCTGAACTGAGGCAGGCAATGTACCGTAGATCGGCATGTATAAGGCATGTTTTTCGTACCTAGAATTAGAGGGGTTTGAAGGAGGGGCGCCTTATACAAGGGGTATGTACTAGACAGTTCTACAGTCAGACTTGTGCCATTCACACAAATTAACAGAATACCCACGTGAATGCATCTGAGTTCATTAGTAACATTAAGAATGTTAACCCATTATGCATCAAAATGCTGAAGAACATTGCATCTTACTTAAAATGTTTCATAATTCAATTCTTGATTTTTTAGAATGAAAACATTAATTATTCCTGCAGATGTGTAACCTATATGGAAAAATATGACATTTCCCCCCAAAATGATGCATCAAGGACTGCAATGAGGTGTGTTGTTAGCAAGGAAAGAGGCAACTAGGGCTGGGATGAGTCAGTATTTATTTACCCACTAACATCCTCTAATTACCTGACCCTACCCATATACCAACATTGGGTCTCCAGTGTTTCGTATGAAATGGTAAGGGATTGATGCACCAGGGCCTTATTGAAACTGTTCAGATACACTTATAATGATTTGATCATTCATTCACTCAAGTTGATGGATACTTTTGTCAATACTCAAATGTATAAAAGTTTGAAGGAATGCATGCATGCTCAAGAGGAATGCATGCATACTTGAATGCATACCCAAGAGAATGCATGCATACTCAAGGAATACATTCAAACTCAAAGAAAAAGTGTGGCTTGTCGATTTTCAGTGTAACCATGTACTTTTACAGTTATTATCACTGAATGATAACCTCTACATTTAGACCTATGGCTACCCAGGGCCTCCAGTCCCGACCCTGAGATCCCACATTATCCGCCCCAGCCCTGGTGGCAGACCTTGTATCTTGTATCATTCAGTCTCGAGCGTTTGACACATTTCTAGACATTATTATTGGCACACTTCCACAAAGTAACTTGACAAGATGCACTGTTTTATTCCTGGCAGAAGAACTGACTTGATAGGTGTCTCCTTGTGTGAATTTCTAAGTCATTTGTGTTGTTTGTTATGGTTTCTTTATGTTGTAGAGGAAAGCTTATTTGCTTCACCGTGTAATCTGATTGAAATTCTGCAAGATCCTCTACTTATATTATGGCATTTATATACTGTTGTTCTAGGTATCTTTAAAAGATGAAATGTTGCTAGTCGTCCCCATATGAATTCATATATGTTGTGTGTTATTTTCTCCGTGTTGTAGAAGAGGACTTGGTAACTTCTTTAGCACAGACTGAAATCCAGCGACGTCTTGTACTTATTAAAGATGTCACCATACATTCATTTACAGCAGTGTTGGTGTACATGGTGATACCTCCACTGGGTGTCCCATGGTTTTGGTGCAGTATGGCTCACCGTAGTGTAAAACTGTTTACTTTAATGATGCTAAGCCAAATTATATATGTGTTTCCCATCTCAACATTTTACTTTGCTGTTTTGATTTTCACCATAGCTACTGTCACAATCGTGGTAACGTCCATATTTAATGACATTAATTTAAATGTGTGTTCTTCATTATACAAGTCATGATCTTCGTTAAGAAACATTTTACATTCAGGAAATAACTCTTTTCAAGGAAAGAAAAACCTGAAGCCAACAGTATTGAATTGGTTTAAATTGGTAACCCAGATATTGGCTATTCTGCATCTAATGATCTCAATGTGACCTTTTTGTAGTGATCTACACATTTCACCACTTGCAACTAGTCATTAGGAAAGTATTATTTTACACTTGGTAATCAGTGATTCCTTCTTACTTTTATCTAAGGTATTCCCTACTTAAATATACTTTTTCAGCTTCTCTCAGGAATTTCTCTTTAGAATATTTCCAAAGTATATTAGAAATGTGTGTACCAGTATTTTATGCAAGTATCATTTTGACTTTATATTACTTAATATGTTTTATGTATCGTATATGTTTCGTAGACATTTGTTGTTTCTAGTCCATCATAAGCCCTCCTACAATCAAGTCTTGTGTATAGAATGTGGAAGGACAACTTCCATAGGTGCTGATGTTGATGCTGTGCATCCCCGTAGCTGTAGCGGCATGAGCTCCTTCCCAGCGCAACATCATCGTAGCTGGGTATCATCGCCTTGTCAAGTGTACAAGCAGCCGTTCAAGAATCTGGAAATTTTCATTCAAATGTTGTGGCGTTCTTATTTCTGTGTATGCCATCAGGGATGTCATCATTGTGAATTGGTTAAAGATTTACAGAGGTACAGATAAGCTGCGTATCTCGTAAATTACGCAAATATTTATGTGAAAACTCAATTCCTATTAAGTCGATTCCGTACAAGTACACTTGAATTTTTGTAATACCTAATAAATGTGATCTTACATGCGTACATACAAACATGTCAAATCTTAGCTTGCGTACCGGTGGATAGATAAAATAACTGAAGAGGTTCTACTCAGGACATGAACTTGACAACTTGCAGTCTTTCTTATCGTTTCTCATATTACAGATCAAATGTAAATAACAAACAGTAACATTTAAACTTTATTATATTTTTACAATTAATGGAAAATGGCAAAATACCCTATTGAGTTTGAGTTAGGTGAGTACAATTTATTTGGTTACTGAAAGGAAAATTAGGAAACCCAATTGAGAAGAACACAAGCGAGTACATAACTCAATGACCCAAAAAGTTATCTGTAGCTCTGGATTTATGACGGATGAACTATTTCCTAGATGAACTATTTCCTAGATAAATTGAAGTTTATGTTTGTGTTCGTTTTATCAGTATGGTTCAAGATTTGTTTGATTAATCAGAATGGTTTGGGATTGTAGACTAGCGGGGAAATAACATCCTACATCCCATTACTGTACCATTTATATCATAGGTGTAATGTAATTAAATTCAAATTGACAATCAAAGAATTAATCGTTCGTTTGAAAACATCGATGTAGGCTGGAGTTGTGACTTTAAACAGTGGTAGAACAGAGCTCCATGATGGCTTTTACCGTGAGCTCCCTTTTGACTTGCCAATTTCTTATAGGCTGCAGCTGGAAAACAGCAAGCAAAGGTTGTATTTGTGCTCAGTGTCAAATTGATTGAAAATTAGGACTCGGTGATTTCGGTGATGCAAGATTGCTGTCAGATTTCAGCTGCAATAGAGTTTCTTAGGGTTTTTATCTAGTGTGAAGCCCATTTCTGGTGTCCCTGCAATGATATTGTGGAAATATTGCTAAAAGCGGCGTAAAACCCAACTCACTCACTCATGAACAGCAGATGAACAGCGATAGTGCATCAAGATGACAGCAGCAGCATCGATAAAGTTAATGAACCATTTGTTACAGATCAATCAGCATGATGCAAAAAAAAATCTGCTCAATAACTTTTTTAAAATAGTTTCTCCCATATCGGTGCCAATGGGTATTGGTTAACAAGAGCCCTCCCCGTGAAACGTTCTATGTGTGATTGTTGGTTAATGCTTTGACCATCATAATGAGGGATTAATGAGGGATTCCTAATAGTGAGTGAGTTCAGTTTACGTCGCACTCAGCAATATTCCAGATGTATGGCGGCGGTCTGTAAATAATCGAGTCTGGACCAGACTATCCAGTGATCAACAGCATGAGCGTCGAGATTCCTTAGATACCGTGATACACATAAACATCAGTATTCAGTTACTGGATGTAATTAGATTTCATCATATGGATGAGTTCAAGGTAAGTGACTTGTCTTGCCAATGATCTTTATGGTTGTAATATGAATGTTGTGTGTTGTAATTGAAGATTTACATGACGGCAACTGGAATTTGGCACTCAAATCTCGTGTTCTGCTTGTTGTAACTGTAAGTTTGTTTCGGTGAAGATTAAAGACTGCTCAAGCCTTCTGATTGGTTGGAGGAAGATAAGTCAGCTGTGACTGCCATGGTGTCAATAAACTTAAACGTAGACGTAGTTGTAGTGTTGTCTGGTGTCTGCGGGGATACATCTGCATCGTCGATACTTCACAGGTTGGGTATGCATTTCTTTGATGACCCAAGAATGCATTCAGCCTATTCGCTGGGTTGTCACTGGTTAGTCACCAATAAATCAAGACATCAGGGTTCTGATACACAAAGCCTTTCGTAGCTATGACATTCATAAGCCTATGATAAACTATAGCGCCATGAAAGGTTGGAATGTTATGAGCATTTTGTGGATTGGGCACGATCCAAAAGTGGGCCACTATTCCCAAAGTGTGGGTAGTCTAGTGGTTAAAGCTTTCACGCCAAGACCGGTTATCCCCACATGGGTACGTGAAGCCCATAGCTTATCATAGACCTACAACTGTCAGTCAGTCAGCAGTACGAACCCTTTGTGGGTAGGGGTCTTTGTTCTTTAAGGAGGGAGACCAGCAGGTGCACTGACAAAAGAACAAGATTGTGGCTCTCTACTCGTCACATTGCTTCACTACGAGGCAGCAGCAGGGATCACGAGAAGTTCAGGCACAGAATATGGCTCATTTGACTCAGTTTTGTTATTAATGGCCTCGTGTCATTTCCAGACTTCCAGTTAAACACAGTTGACACAAGTTACTACTACCCATGAATTATTAGGTGATGGACAAGTGTAGTGCATACCAAGCCTGTGAAGTGTTGAAGGCAAAACATCGTCAGAGAAAGATTATACAAGGGGTCTTTGCATGCCATGTTTTGTTCCCCAACTTGAGCTATTTCACAAAGCGAACATACTGCTACAATTGTTGTAATATTGTTGAACTGTAAGAGACAGCAGTACTATTGCTTAGTAGAACACAGCCCATATCTCTAGCACTATTATGATCATAATTGTAAGTATTGAAGTTACGAAACAATCATTTAGTGCCAGTCAAGCCTTGTCACAGTACTACAGTTTATGTTAAAGCATGGTAGTTGTGGCAACTCTAAGACTATAGTTCTCAACGAAAGGCTATCCTTGCTTTGTGAAAGTGCATCATGGTTATTACTGAAACTTTAGTTGTGTTGTAATTTTTTGTGTTGTAGCATTTTCAGATGTTATGCCTATGACATATATTTTTGTTGCTTTTGTAATTTTCTTGGAACATCATCAAATCAAGTTTTCAGAAATGATCAACCAAAAGAGAGTATTAATCTGGGCCTTGGATCGCAGCCTACTTGGGAAGTAATCAAATGTTTTTATTTATTTCATGGGAGTTACTTGTCCAAGTGGAGAGGATAGATGTGAGCCTCTTTCTAGTCAGAAAAAAAGAATGTTGAGTATTATATTCAGTTTTGTACTCAAAGTGTTCATCTTTGTTATGTAACCATTGTAACTTTTTGTATTGGTGCAATATGTCTGTCTTTTGTTTGTTGTCTGTTTACATTGTAATAATGAATATAATAAATGTAAGGAAACATATCCTCCCCTGCTGTTTGTTGTTTTAAGTGAAGATGGCTAACTATATCCTATGTTTGGTGTTGAAGGCTACATTCAGCAATATTCCAGCTGTATGGCAGTAGTCTGTAAATAATCGAGTCTGGACCAGACAATCCAGTGATCAACGGCATGAGCATGGATCTACACAATCGGGATAGGATGACATGTGTCAACCAAGTCAGTGAGCCTGACCATAGGTTTCCTCAGTCGCCTCTTAGGACAAGCATTGGTTGCTGAAACCAATTCTAACCAGGATCTTCACAGGTCAATAGGTAATATGACAAAGGGATGGAAAAACATGAATTTTCAACCATTAATGGACTGAGTTGTGTAAAGGAGTCACGACAAACAGTATTTGTTTATCCCTTTTATTACAATTCAACCACATTTGCTTGCAAGTAATAACTGATTACATTAAAAGATTTTACTAAATTTAATGTTCCATTTATCTCAGTTCACAGAAAAATCACAGACATAAATAGCCTGCTAAGTTGTCCTTCTAGCATTTAAAATATCACAAAATATGTAGTTTAGCTTTTCACTTTGCAATGTATTTTACATTTACAAGAAATTCTCATATATAAAAAGCAACCAGTGTGTATGCAGAATCTTTGATCTGCTATTGGTATCATTTATGTAAAATGAAACCCAAACAAAACTGGCAAACAAGGATAAATAGTTCATAAAATAAGGAGATGTAATCTCGAAAACATGTTCAGTGAAGCATTTGTGTATCTTTCACAAGTGATCATAGTTCACATTACAACACAAATCTTTGATTTGGGCATTTTAAGCCTTTTTTGCTAGTCTGTTTCGAAAAGACTCAGCTGTATCTTTTCTTGCCCCGGGATTGTTTGCCGGTTTAGTGCTGCTAATGGTATTCTGTTTTTTGTCTGTGTCTTTCTTTCCCTCATTAGCTGTCTTCTCATCAGCTTTGTCTTCACCTTTTTGCAGCCTCACCATCAGCCAGTTGTTGCCAGTGCTTTCTATTGTTCAGACAACCTTCATACAAAGGGTTGAGGGCAGGGTCAAGCTCACTGAAGAGTTTGTATACTGGCATACAGATGAAATCTATGAAACCAACTTGCATCTTTGGTAGCTGATCCTGCTTTTCCCTATCCATCATCGCAATCGGATTCTCTCCTAAGACATCCTTTTCCATGTCTCCTTGTTCAAAGAATTCACTCGCTACCAGCTGAGCTGTTCGGAATTGGATTTCCCATGGTTTGCAAATGGCGGCCACATCGCATGCAGTCATCATCATAGCCGTTAAGACCTCTCTCCGCTCTGGTGGTTTGAAATCTTTAATCCCCTGTTCTAAATAGGCCTTGAAATCATTACGTTTCTTGAAGTACAGTGCAAGGTCTGTTGATATGATTGCATGCTCCAGAACACTCAAAGCTTTCTGGTAGTTATCTTTACTGAGGGTCTTAAAGATGTTATTTCCATTGCTGTTTAGGATCATGATGCAGTGGTCAAAATGGTGATGTTCCATCACTGATGTACTGTATAACGTTGCCAAAGGCGATGCAGCCTTTACTTGGAACGCATTGTTTGTGCCTCTGTGATCAAGATCATGACAAAGGCAAGCTGCAAGCACAGCAAAAATCTCAATATCATCAAAAGCCTTTGCAAGGTTTCCCGTGAACATAATGGTAAACATACTTTGAAATACGTTGAATGCATGTCGCCAGTTGTGGTAGATGACTGGTCTGTAATTCTTTCTGACGGTGAGTGTCCATCGACATAAAACATCATATGGGACCTTGAACTTTTCCATTGCTCCTATTTCACAGAACATTCTGACCACTGCCCTGCATGTGTCAAATTCATCCATCTCAAAGTCATCAAATTCGTATTTGTACAACCCCCATACTTTAGCAGAAGGCAAATCCGCCTTTGCCAACTGTTTGGTTTCTTCGTCTGAAGCTGATGCGTGATAAGATAGAACTTCGAGGGCAACCTTCTGTTTTGCCATCAATTTACAGACGTTTTCATACATGAGACAGTTGTGAATACCAAGTCCAGTGAATATTGAGAATGCCTCTATGATGTTTTCATCATTCTCATTAAAAGCCATACCACTTGACTTGTTTATTAATTGAGTAGCCCCAATTATTTCCATTTTGCTGTTGAAGATAGGAACACACAATATACTTCTGGATTTGAAACCACTGTTGTCAACAAAATGAGTGCTTCCAAACCGGCTTTCAAATTCAAGATCTGGAATGTTCATTGGCGTTTTTTCGAAAACTACTACTTTCGAAACTTTTGTATTTTGGGACGTTGCAATGTCCCCAGCACTTGGAATTTCTATATTTCCATCACCCTTTTCAGATAGCACAAACACAGTTGAAAATTTTATGTCATCCACTGAAGCGTACGTCTTCTCAGCGACAGATTCATTTTCCTCAGAAAACTCAAAGGACATTTCTGCAGAGAAATCCGATAAGAGGTATACACTGCATCGTTCGCATTTCAACAGTTGCTGAGCATCAAGCATAATTTTCTGTACCAGTTGCTGAAGACGTGTTTGTTCCTCGAATATCCCGCGCGCTAGATTTAGCAAAAGCTGATTCCTCTGGTATTCCTTAATGGACATCTCAAAGAGTTGTGCGTTCATAATGCCAATCCCACAGAAGGTAAGGTACTGTTTGAAAATGTCAATATCTTTCGCAACGAACTCGTGCGAACCAAAAATCTTATTGATGATCTGAGCAACACCAATGACCTCTCCGTGTTGGTTTAGGATGGGCATACACAAAATGCTGTGTGTACGGTATCCGGTCTTTTTGTCAACGGCTTGATTGAATCTTGGATCGTCGTACGCTTCTTTGATGTTTACTGTTTCCTTTGTCAGGGCAACATGACCAGCAATGCCTGTTCCAAAAGGAACTTTAATTTCAGTTTCTTCAGTATGAAGGGACTCTTCAAGAGTTGAAGTCTGCGTGACGTCAAACAGCTTGGACACTAGGTATTTGTGATCGACTGTACCTCTTGCAAGAAACAAACTTCCTCTATCACTCTTGGTAAGCAAGCTGACATTTCTGAGAATCTTGTGACAAAGAACATTGACATCAAGTTCGCTAGCGATATCTCGCACGAGTTCCATGAAAACGTCATTTTCGTTCATTCCATCCAGTTTGCTCGCGGCAATTATGTTGGAAGCAACTTTATTGATTTCTCTATCTCCATGCAAATACTTCTTCAAAAGTTTACTTGCCATGACATTTTTGGCAACTGAAGATAACTTGCCTGGGTCGTTCGCCTTCTTCAGTCCAAGACTTTTTACGACGTCTTCAGGCGCATTTTCAATGTACTTTGACAGGAAAGAAGGGTTGGAGTCCAACCACTCCCCCACATTTTTATCCGTGAGAGACATTTTCTCCGTTGATTTAAGTATCTGTCTGAAAAATATATGATAATGTGCATCAGGTGTTGCTGTCGACATGATATACAATGGGGGTATTTTGGATCTGCATATACATTTTTAGTTAGAATGTCATTTAAAATAGGAACTTACAAATTCTTGATGTCTTTCAGTGGCATTTAGAAGTTGTACATTGATGTCCAAGATATTTTTATGGATTAAACTTCTTTTTTAATTTCTCTCACGACGTTTCGAGACCTGGACCTGGAATGGTCTCGAAACGTCGTGAGCGAAATTAAAAAAAGTTTAATCCATAAAAATATCTTACAAATTCTTGTTACAATCTTGTATTAAACCGTAAAAAGAGTGTATCATTTCGGATAAAGCGTAAGGTTTCAGACCTGTTGATATTTTATTCACTAAACTATGACAGATGTTATCAGTAATGACTTACTTACGAAGTAAGTAAAACAAACACCACGCTGACAGGTTTTGCAAGGTGAAGTGAGGTGAGGTAAAATGGAGTTTAACGTCGCACTTCAGAATATTTCGCTCATATGACGACGTGCATGCGTGTGTATGTGTGGCTGCTTGTACTAGCCCAGACTTAAGCTGGTTTTATTGTGCTAGCTCACTGAGATACCATGCTGCAGTTAAGCATGAATAGCCCACTCAGACACATTATACTGACTCCGAGCCGACCATGTTGTACTCATTAATGCCGAGCGCCAGGCAGGGACCAACGAGTACTATATGTTAACGTCTTTTGGTATGACGCGGCCGGGGATGGAACCCGCGACCTTCCGCTCTCCGGGCGGACGCTCTAACCACTACACCAACGAGGCGGTTGCAGGTAATGGAACAATGTAGCGATGAAAGTAGCAGCACTTACAGTGGAAACTGAGTATGGGCAACTTGCATGCGCGTGGTGAATGCATAGGCCTCTGTATAGATCAAAATGTAGATCTTCTCTCACACGCATTTCTACACCAGCCTAATTAATGATTCCTCAATTTATCGAACTCTTTTTGGACATAGTTGTGTTCGAGAAAAAAATAATTAAAAAAGCATACGGGTTCGCACAAAAACATTCCGGATTCCATCTAATGTTAAGAATCTGTAACCAAGGAATCCAAGCTGAAGTTGATCATTAACCCACTGGATGTCAGGACACGGACACATATGTCCTTACAGTTAAACGTTTACTTTGAAGTCAAATAAAATTCAAAACATATCACGCACACAAATAAACTTCACATTTTTTAAGTCTGAGAAAGACTTCCCGTTTCTTGGTAACACCCACTAACATCTCAGTTAAAGCAAAAGTGCTGAAAATGACATCTGAAAATTGGGTACATTGTAAATGTTGCCATGATGCCAAATAAGAACAATCGTTGCACAGTGCCATATCGGCGTACGACAAAGAGTGGATAAATTATCTCTTTCAACGCATAATCAAATTGGGACCTTTGTCAGTGTCTGTATTTCCAACCACCAAAGTATTTGCTCTTAAATTTACACTGTGATAGGACAGTTAATATTCTACATAACTTTGTAACCGTAAGTGCCGCGCATTCTCACTTTTAAGATCTTATGAAATGGTGCTTCAGAATAAATATCTCGGCATCCAAGGGAGTAAGTAGGGTCTTAGCTTTTTGTTGGATCTGCGGCCAGTTACTCAAAGCAATCTTAAGTTAGAGGGTAGACTACAGTATTTTGGTCTCCGGGTCGGTCAAAACGTTTATTGTATTTATTTAAATTCACGAATCAAAACCGTTGCACGCATGTCCTACTTTATGCTTGTTTGTTGTTCAACGTCACATACAACAACATGCCAGTGATTGACATCATGAGCATCGATCTACACAAATGACATGCAGCAACCAAGTCAGCGATCAGCTCATCCCGTTTGCTGTTTAGATACTTGAAGTACAATTCTAACTTCAGTTATTTACCGCCGAAAAAATGTATTCCTTATGTTGATAAAATACCGAGATACTAATGCAATCTTATAACCTACTAATTCAGTCTAATATGTGATCTAATCACTTGACCGCTCACAACTCTTATTCATCCCCAGTCCTTACAAATGTAATTGACTAAAACCAATTAATTTTTGTCAGTAAATAAATAACGGCATCGACCAGCAACTTACATTCTTGGGAAGGATGAAGTGGCTCTGCAGCCAACTCAGAAAAGATGACGTAAGTTACTCTCTCGTATTTTAAATGATGATAATAATTGTTTTTAAAAAACCGGTACAAAAAACGGTAGCAAGCTCCTCTGTCTTGTTTCATTCATTAGTGGTGAAACATTTTTGAGGCTTGATAAACGTACTCGTCGCGTTTATAAAAAACGTAATCGTCAACAAGTAGCACATGTTTTATCTTGTATTAAAAGGTTTTACCAACCTGTGTGGGTCAATCTATAAAACTGGCGTCTTTATCCGATGCTTCGACCACATTTCTATTCGCATTCGCCATTCGCCTGGGGAGCATAGGAAACTTCGGCCGAAACTTCATCACTATGGCCGTTTGAGACTCGCCACCTGTGACGTCATGTCATTATGACGTCACTTCCCTATAAACAATGTATTGTTTGACGTCAAAGGTAGCAACGTTCGACATAAAAGCTGGTTCCCGGTTCCCTTTGCACGTCACGAGAGACAGGTCCAGCTTAGACTGCATATATTCACATTTTGCTTGTTGAAATGAATATGGCCTCACAGTATTGATTTGGTTACACCATTGAAAGTAAACTACATATTAGGAGCAGACATTTTACCATTGGCGTGATGTAGAGTTGCCTGTCTTTAATGAGATCGAATACAGAAGTATAGAATTTGGTTCACTCCCATTTGACTACATATATGTACCCAACTTCACCTATAAACAAGGATATAGATAGTTACTGAACAGTAAAGTGTAGACAGAGAGAGTGGGTTGGGCTTTACGTCGCTTTTGGCAACATTCCAGCAATACAACGACGGGGGGACACCAGAAATGGTCTTCACACACTGTACCCATGTGGGGAATCGAACCCGGGTCTTCGGTGTGACGAGCGGACACTTTAACCACAACTACCCCACCGCCCCACCTAAACAAAAGCCATTATGGGAAGAGACCATAAAGTGATGGTGATACACAATCTGTATTCTCGACAGTTGTACATCGCTGCAACACAGTTGTCAGTGCACAGTATTCATGTACATGTGTTTTCCATACCCTCCAAATGCCGTTATTCGTTCCTTCAAGGGTTGATTGATGTAAATAATCTGCGTAATGCACCAGCAGGTTTCAAACAGGAAAATATCCCTATCCTGCAAATGTGGAAACTGTTAAAGCGTGTCTGCGTGAATGGATTTCAATTGTTGGTTCATCGCCAGATATCAGATAGAATCTTTGTATCCAGTACCAATATTTTCAGATTTAAACTTTCTATAGGACTGTAAAAATACCATACAAAAAGAAGTTGATGTAAGAATGACCACCGCTTGGAAAATAAGTACGATTATTTTTAATACTGCAGTTGGCAATGTTCCATGGACTCTGTGTAACAACCGAGTTGGGCGGATCAAACCAGTGATTATACGATTCAGCTTCTGGTATGGATACTGTGCTAGCTGAGATGCTTACGAACAACGTGCAAAAATGTTATTAGTCCCTGAAATGAAGCATACGATGCGTCATTTTCACACCCAATCGCATCCTGTCCGTGGGAAAACATCCCAAAACAACCAATCAGATTTACACCTAAAGTTGTATATTCAGAAATAAACAAGATGCGTATTATATATATATCGTATCTATTAGATGGGTGAGTTGGGATTAACGGGTTTTGACCCCTGAAGTTTAGAATTAGCCTTCAGTAACTCATGCTTGTCGTAAGAGGCGACTAACGGGATCGGGTGGCCAGACTCGCTGACTTGGTTGACACATGTCATCGTATCCTAATTGCGTAGATCGGTGTGAATCACTGGATTCAGTCTCGATTTGGTTCAGTCTCGATTGTTTACAGATCGCCGCCATATATAGCTGGAATATTGCTGAGTGCGGCGTTCACAATAAACACAGAAAATTAAGATCACTTGGCATGTTATCGGTCTGGTTGCAATTGATTTGCTTTGGAAACAATATTTCGATCAGTTTACATGGCGAAATATAAAGCTATCCTGTATTGTACGAGCGTACAGGGCAAGACTATGTTTTTTCTATCTCATCAACATCATTGGCGGATCAAAGGGGTGGGTGGGGGAGGGATTTGTCAGGGGGTCAAACACACACACACACCCTTTGAAAATGACGAAAGACACACCCCCTTTGAAAATTCATGGATCTGCCTATGCGACATTCCCATAGCGGCGGGGAAATTTGAGCTAAGAAAATGTTTTATCATTTAACGTCGGAAGGAAAATTCAGGGTGGACGGGAGATGGGAAACACAGAAACAAGCACGGACATCCTTATCACACCCCTTATTGTCGTATAGCAGTGTAATGTTAAACAATGGTATAACTGTATTACATTTATTGTATTACGCTTTTCATACACGCCAGTATCCTCCCATATGGCAAACCCGTGAAGATCCGGGTTAGAATTGGTCTTCAGCAAGCCATGCTTGTCGTACAGGAGGCGACTAACGGGATGGAGTGGTCAGGCTCGCTGACTCGATGTTCATGCTGTTGATCACTGGATTGTCTGGTTCAGATTATTTACAGACCACCGCCATATAGCTGGAATATTGCGGCTACCATACTCACTCACTTCTCTGGAGGAGGCGGAACGCCGAATACATGGATTCGAATCCCACATGGGTACAATGTGTGAAGTCAATTTCTAGTGTCGACCGTCGTGATATTGCTGGAATATTGCCAAAAGCGTCGTAAACCCAAACTCACTCACTCACTCGCTGGCTTTCCTGGAGGAGCGGTGTGCCTTTTGGGCGTCCTGGTCAGGACAGACCTTCGTGTTTTTTTTACGTTTTACCAGACCAAGATGTTAGCTAAAATCACATTAGCTGTTCTGGCTAATGTAACTGACTAGTAAATCTGCTCTATGCCTCGCAAAGTGATCACAGCCTTAAGACGATCGCCCTTGCTAGGTTATGTATAAGGTCGAAGAGGTCATATAAAAGTAATTTGTGAACGGGACATTGGTCTGGATAGATCATCGTTTCTTTACATTTAGTGGATCCTGTCCCACATTTCGGTAATGACATTAGTTGTAGGGCTAGCCTAGTGGTTAAAGCGTTCGCTCGTCACGCTGAAGACGCGGGTTCGATTCCCCACATTGGTACGTGTGAAGCCCATTTCTGGTGTCCCCCGCCCTGATATTGCTGGAATATTGCTAAAAGCGGCGTAAAAACATATTCACTCGCTCACTGACTTCGCCTCCACTTCTTGTTACACTACTGCTTGTACACGAATCCGTATCGAAACGTCGCACTCATGAAATAAAGAAGTTGTTATCCATAAAGTCTATATTGTACTTGCCGCTTCTAAAAAGTCACTCAAAGAAGTAAAAATCTGAGCTCTGTTTTACAAAGTGGCCTTAGTCTTAAGGCGTTCGTAACCCCCGTGATCTTACGTAGTGTTTAAGAAGTAGTTATTGATTTTTAAACGGGACATTGGTCGGGATAGATCGTTTTTTGACGTACGAGATACGTATATAGAAATGTGTCCAACATTTTTAAATGACATAGGTTGTATAGGTTACTATACCTGACAAAAAATCTGAGCTGGTTTGTAAAGTGATCTTAGTTTGAAGGCGATCTTAACCCCATGCCCGCCGTGATATTGCTGGAATATTGCTAAAAGCGGAGTATAACCATACTCACTCACTTAACCCCATGTTTTACATGAATTTTAAGAGATGCATGGTTAGTGATTTGTGAAACGGGTCATTGAGCATTATGTGTACTTTAAACGCTGCAGACGACCCGTTGCGTTGTGTTGTTTCCCATGAATTTTAAGAGATGCATGGTTAGTGATTTGTGAAACGGGACATTGAGCATTATGTGTACTTTAAACGCTGCAGACGACCCATTTTGAATGAGTGAGTTGGGTTTTACGCCGCCCTCAGCAATATTCCAGCAATATCACGGCGGGGAACACCAGAAATGGGCTTCACGCATTGTAGAAATGTGGGAAATCGAACCCGGGCCTTCGGCGTGACGAGCGAACGCTTTAACCACCGGTCTACCCCCTCGTCCCTCCATTTTGAACTGGAGATGGGATAATCGCTGTGTGGATCACTTAGAAAGTCTGTTTCCACGACAATGACTGAATTATTCACTGTCTCTTACGTGTTAACATGCGAAAGGTCCGTCAGCTGGTGCACCATCATTGATCCTTGTTCCTGAATGGAATCGTTCACCCAACAACCCACAGACAAATACCCGCCACACATATGCCCCGTTTCAGTGTATGCAAGAAGCAGAATCACTTGGCTCTGTAGCTCACCTGATCTTTTCCTATTATACTCAGAGTGAATGAGTGTGTTGGGTTTTACGCCGCTTTTAGCAATATTCCAGCAATATCACGGCGGGGGACACCAGAAATGGGCTTCACACATTGTACCCATGTGGGGAATTAGATCGTATCCGGGTCTTCACCGTGACGAGCGAACCCATTAACCATGCACCAGGCTACCCCACCGCCCCTCCATTGTACCCACGTGGGGAATTAGATCGTATCCGGGTCTTCACCGTGACGAGCGAACCCATTAACCATGCACCAGGCTACCCCGCCGCCCCTCCATTGTACCCATGTGGGGAATTAGATCGTATCCGGGTCTTCACCGTGACGAGCGAACCCATTAACCATGCACTAGGCTACCCCGCCGCCCCCATTATACTCAGATCAGATCAGTATGACAAATTACCGATGAAGGTCCGGGTTAGAACCTAACATATGTTACTGCACATACTGCAAGCAGTAACAGGTTGTACGAGGTAACGTAACACAGTAATGTGAGACTTTGTGTTTTCCTTGTGTTAAAACGTTCCAAAATATATAGATGGCTTTATTTTCACAATTCTGCATGGCAGCACATTTTGGATTACATTGATTGGATTGCCTACGTACATCAGCTTCTCTAACCCAGATGCTTCATCTGAGGTGGAAAACGAAGTAAATCCGTATAATTGTAAAGGTCGGACGTGGCATTTCATAATGATAGTGAGTGACTTGAGTTTTAGGCCGCTTTTGCAATATCCCAGCAATATCACGGCGAGGGACACCAGAATTGTGGATCACACACAGTATCAATGTGGGTAATCGAACCCTGGTCTTTGGCATGATGAGCAAATGCTTTAACTTTTATGTTAATAACATTCACGGATGGGTTTGGCATTTTGGGTGCTGTTGTACAGAACGATCTTCGAGATAAGGTAATCATAACTCCCTGCCTTAACCTAGACTTACGACTGTCGTAACTTTAAGGCTGCTATGTGCAATGGCACCCAAGACCTTAAAGTTTCGGGAAGTGATGTGGAGAGTGTAAAAAACTCAACAGATGGGCAGATAGTCTTAACTTTCAGTTGGGGAGCTAACAACAGCCGAGAAACATCCAAAGGTTATGCCGCACAAGGGAATTAAACTCTGAAAGTATTCAGGCGTCATCTTTGGTGGGATGTCTAGGGTATATTACGTATATACATTGGTCTAATGACTGCTCTGACACTCAACAACCTGGACATAAAATAATAATTATAATGATGACTATGTGTATGTTAATGCAGTGAAGAATTCCCTGAAGGATCTCAAAGTGCTTCAAGATTACCTTGGTGACTCCATTACTATGGACATGAAATTCATGGGCGGATCCAGGAATTTTGGAAAGGAGGGTTCAGGGGTTCAATGTGATCTTAAGTCATTTTCAAAGTGTGTGTGTGTGTGTGTGTGTGTGTGTGTGTGTGTGTGTGTGTTGAACCCCAGAACCCCTCCTCTGGATCCGCCACTGAAATTCACACTCATCTCTCAGGAGTGTGCCACCCAAGCTGACTTTGTGTGCTGGTGTTTAGGTGCCTGACTCTGAGGTTGTACCCCATAATGATAACCCCTACATACCACTGCCCCTACACCCCTACAATTAGTTAAAACAACACACAGCATTTACCTGTCTGGCATAATGGACTGACCCATGATGTCAACCTCCATTAAAATCATTATGTTATTGTGTTGTTATGTCTTATAAGTGGATTAGTCCATTGTGTGGAATAGGTAACAGGCAGGGGATTAACAGTGCAACAGACTATAAACTATGTTGTTATAAGCTGTAGGGGTAGTGGCATGTAGGGGTCATGGGGTTACCGACTCTTGAGGGTGTGGGTTTGAATCCCAGATGGGACTCAACCCAACAAAAGTACTAAAATATGTACTTTACTAAGAAAGTGTAATCCCAAAATATAACATGTTACGTTTGACCACTTTCTAAAAAGGCATTGTGTATTTCATAACCCAAGCTGTCCTGCATGGTTCAAGAAAGCTTGCAATCACATTACCATCTTGATCAAAGTAACTTGTAACATGTGTTATATTTGGGATTATGCTTTCTCAATAAAGTATCAATTCTAGTAATGTTTTTTGAGTCCTCAGACTCAGGCACTAAAGTCACTAAGTCAGGCACTAAAGTCAGTAGCGCTTTTAGCAATATTTCAGCAATATCACGGTGGGGGACACCTGAAATGGGCTTCACACATTGTGCCCATGTGGGGATCCGATCTAATGGAGAAAGTGTAATCTCAAATATAACATGGTACATTTGACCACTTTCTAAATGGCATTGTCGTCACAGCTTTAGGCTGCGGGGTTTGTGCCAGTTTATGCTTGTAAGAGGGAGTACACAAAGTACGTAATCCAGACTTCCAGTTGTCACACCTCCATTTTAAGGAAACTGTGGTGGCCGAGTGTGTTAGATCGACGACTTTGTGTGCTGGCGATTAGATGAATGACTCTGAGAGTTCGGGTACGAATCCTGGATGGTAGAATTTGTTCTTTACAGAGAAAGTGTAATCCCTAATATAACATACATTTGACCACTTTCTTAATGGCAATGTGTTATCAAAGTCTTGTCCACACATGCTAAAAGTGGGACAAGATGGATGTTGAAAAACCCACTGCGGAGTGAAGCTGCTGAACGGGACACCTATCCAACTATTCGCTGAAAGCTATTTTCCCCTATCAGTAAGTTCAATTCAAAATTGAGTGACTGAATGTAGCTTTATGCCGTGTTTAGCAATATTCCAGCAATAGCATGTCGGGGACACCAGAAATGAGCTTCACACATTGTACCCATATGGGGAATCAAACCTGGGTCTTCATATATATGGAGGAAGGGAGGTGGGTTGTGTTGTCAGTGTGACAAGCAAACGTTCCCTAGGCTACCCCACTGCCCTGTTCAAAACTGAACATAATCGTTTCTTTTGAAAGGCAGTATTCAGTTGACAGAACACATTTGATGAAAAATGAAACACTTTTATTATCAAACAATTTTCTTGTTAATCCAAAATTTGTACCCACATGAACAACTGTAAAACAACGTAAGCTAATACGTGATTTGAATCTTCACACATATCAAATAATATTTTGTGATGTTTTTACAAGAAAAAAATGGCACTGTAGCTCACCTCCTTATTTCAGTTCAACAGCTGACAGCATACAGCTGCACAATACACAAAGTTAACAACTGCCACAATTATCATAATCAACAGACCGATCAACTGATCACATTGTCAACTGATAAATAAACACACTATCTGTGAAATAAAAATTCATCATCTATATTTAAATAAAATAATTTTAACACTGTAAACAAAATCATCCTCAGACCATCTGGAAACCTCACCACATGTACACATTCCTATTTTCTAAAACATGCTAGCCATACTTTTCTGTGTAGGACATGTGTTCAGCAAACATCTGGGAAGAAGCTATTGATTGATGGCGAATCTCAAACAAAGTGTCCAACGGTTACTGAAACCGTGGCTGCATAAGCTGTTTGTATCATGAAAAACATTAATTTCGTCAGGTACACATTTACTGCAATACTTTGAAAATGCATATTCATAAAATAAAAACTAAGTACTACTTAATTATATACTACATTACGTTGGAGAAACATCCACAAAAATCAGATTAAGTAGTACCTAGTTTTTTAGTCTGATAAGATCAAACACATTAAGTAGTTCTTAGATTTAAGTCATGACATGATCAAACACAACAATGTCATCTCGAGGGTTCGAATCTCATGAATTTTCAATATAATTTGATAAAAAATCCACTTTTTTCTGATCCTAGGTTAGGTTGATAATGTGTTTTCATTGTGTTTCAGTACAGAACATATTATGAGAAAAATATATTCATAAATAAATTAAAAAAGGGGCAAGGGGAAGAACTGTTGACGGACAAAGACTGATCAAATGAGCACACACTGACATTGTCATTGTGAAGTAAATCAGAATTACTGGAGAATAACATTAATCACAACATATACTGTTATCTGTCTGTTGTGATCATAACATGTAGTCACATGATGCACATATAAGAAATGTTCTTATCATTAGAATAAAATACATTGTGCAGCATTCTTGATAGATGACAAGGAAATATCTGTCTGATATTAGCAAGCAATTTTACTGTTAAAACATTAATCTTTTAGAAGTCATGGAATCTTTGAGTGAGTGAATGAGTTTAGTTTTATGCCGCTTCTAGCAATATTCAAGCAAATTCACGATGGGGGACACCAGAAAAGGGTTCACACCATGGTATCTTTAAAAACAGTGAGTGAGCAAGGTTTTATGCCAATTTTAGCAATACTCCAGCAATATTACCATGGGGACCACTTGAAATGAGCTTCACATATGGGGGGGAATCGAACCTGGGTCTTCAGCATGATGAGGCTAACATTTGGTCTCTGAATATATATAGTTTTTATGGTAACAAATGATCCCATTTAAACTGAAAATGAGCACCACTGAGATTGTAGATCTAGACTTGCTTCATTTAGGGCTTTAGCATTGCAGGGAGGGCTAGGCAGGAGGGAAATAATGTGGTTCAGGGACTGAGAGACAGACTAGTTTACCACATTAATGAAAAACATGATTGCTGACAAATTTGAAAAGATCATCTGTGATTCAAACTCATTATCACAGGTTTCTGGCATGCCCAAGGGAGGTAACTCTGTACAGCACCTTAAACAACCTGTTGTTGGGACATCTTACCACATTACTATTTTATGATGAAACATCATCCTTTAGTGTGTGTAGGAGTGTATCTTCAGCATAAGCAGCTGGGTTGGTGTTATTGATTGAAATTGAATCTCCAGCCCTAATCACAAAGAAATGTACTCATAGAAAAACAAGTGTAGCCGGATTTACACTTTTTACTTAACTTTAAGAACAAGTAGCAATTACTCACGATGTTGCAACACAATGCTTTATATTGACCCATAATTTACAAAAAACTCTAGATTGATATTTAAGCTTTTTCAATCAATATAGCTTCACAAATGTATTGATTTGTTAATAGGAGCAATTGCCAATGTGATCACGTCTGAAATTATTCATTGCCATGCACAATACAATGGCGATCTTGCCGATAATTCACAATAACAAAATGGGACAGCTTCTCCTGGAACTAATGTTGTATATAAACTGTCACGAAGCCATCAATGCTTCATATGAATATTAAATACTACTTGCATGACAACATATCCCACCAACGCATTCACTCAGAAAGTGGACATGAATATCCTTATAAGCTGTTGAGTAGCACATCATTTACATGCATCATGTTAGCAAGCAATGCATAATAAACACAGGATAATCACTAGTCACATGATTATAACAAAACAACGATAATCCCTGAAGAAAATCTTGAACACATTTCTCAGGCATACAGGATCCTGGGTCCTGATCCCAAAAGCATTCGTAACGTTACGACCTGTCGTAGCTCTGTAGTTTACCATAGGCTTACGAATGTCGTAGCGCTACGAATGCTTTGTGGATTGGGACCCTAAGACTCAAAGCGTTTGTAGCACTACAATAATCATAAGCCCATTATAAACTATATAGTTATGATAGAGTCTTTGAATGGCTAAAGTTATGATAGCTTGTAGTGCTATGAGCGCCTTACGGACTGGGACCCTGAAATACTATTCTGTTCTGTAACGAAATGGAACATAAAAAACACATTCAGCTGTTTCATACAAAATACCACGACCATTAAAACACATACAGTAGAAAACATAATGCTACAATGGTTAATAGGGGCTGATAAATAATAATGTATTTAATTATAATAAAACTAATAATAATACATCTAATAATAATAAAACTAAAAGTTTCCTTGTCTGAATTAGCATATGTAAATCAATTGCATGATGAGTCAGTGATAAATGATCCACTGCTCTGCTCAACAAAGCCATTTGACTACAACAACTGCGCGAAGGAATCTATCTCAACATGGTGAAAGAATGAGAGGTGATAAAAGAACAATTTTGAGGCATTGAATGTTTAGGCATTTAGTAACATGACAGAAATTATGTGACAAGAAAGAAAAAAATTATTAAAATAGCAGCAGTATTTACAATCATACAAATATAAGGATTAACGTTTCAAATTGGATTCCAGCAATATCACAGCGGGGGACACCAGAAATGGGCTTCACATATTGTACCCATGTGGGGAATCAAACCCAGGTCTTCGGCATGACGAACCAACGCTTTAACCACAAGGATACCCCACCGCCCCTTATATGGAGGAAGGGAGGGGGGTTGTCTTGTCACAACCAATTCATTTCCTTCCTTGATGTCAATCAAAATAAGATGTAGCTTGAGTGAGTGAGTGAGTTTAGTTTTACACCGCACTCAGCAATATTCCAGCTATATGGCATCAGCCTTTACATAATAGAGTCTGGACCAGACAATCCAGTGATCAACAGCATGAGCATCGATCTATGCAATTGGAAATACGATCATATGTGTCAACCAGGTCACTGAGTCTGACTACCTGATCCCGTTAATTGCCTCTTACGACAAGCATGGGTTACTGAAGATCAATTCTAACCCGGGTCTTCACGGTCCGATGTAGCTTGAACTTCACAGAGATGGAGAATTGACATGAATAAACCCCGACAATATTCACTGTATTCAGTGCCCTGATTGGCTTCAAGACCAGTCAGTGAGTAACGTTTATCTGCCTCTACTGTGGTTGAAAACTGACACAACAATCCATACTTTTCTGTATAGACAGTTATAGTTTCAGTGACACAAAGCTCCCAATAGACTAATTACAGCTAAACCTGAACACATATATAATCAGCTGTTATACTAACATTTGCCATGAGAAAACATAACAAAATATTTCACATGAACACAAATATAATTCCCTGTCTATATGCTATGGAGGAAAATATCTGAGAAATATTTACTCTATCTGTTGCAACAGTGCAGTCACTAAATCAGTACTGACTGACTGAGTTTAGTTTTATGCCGCTTTTAGCAATATTCCAGCAAAATCATGGCAGAGGACACCAGAAATGGGCTTCACACGTTGTACCCATGTGGGGATTCGAACCCGGGCCTTCGGCGTGACGAGCCAACGCTTTAACCACTAGGCTACCCCACCGTCCCCTAAATCAGTACCAGGCCTCATGTGACATTCAGTGAGAAAAACAAAGTCTCTAGTCTGGACCAGAAAAACCAGTGATTGGGATACGATGACATATGTGTCACCCAAGTCAGCGAGGATGACCACCTGATCCGGTAAGTCGTCTCTCATGACAAGCATGGGTTGCTGAAGATCAATTTTAACCCGGATCTTCATGGGTCCAGTGAAGCTCGATCACCACAGAGATTGACAAGTCGGATCAATAAATCCAGCCAATGTTCACTGTAGGGCCCCTAAACAGCTTCAAAACAAGTGGGTGAGTAATGACTCAACTGTGGTTGAAACACATACCGGATCTACACGAGTCGGAACAAAAAGTCTCACATTACAGTGTTTAATGGGCAGCATGACACTGCTTGTATAATGTGCAGAGAACGTGACACAACAATACTATCAGGTGAATAGGCTCACATTACAGTGTTTAATGGGCAACTCGCGCAGCATGACACTGCTTGTATAATGTGCAGAGAACGTGACACAACAATACTATCAGGTGGAATCCAACACAATAAGTCATAGTTGAAAGGATACATATAAACCAGTGTGTGAAATTTATGCTGGTCTTGTGGTCCCTGGCTAGTAAAAGCTCATCAGGACCACTAAACGATAAGTTCAACTGGTCCTTGTGGCCAGTAAATTTTGTATTGATAGTTAAGTAAATCTACGAATGTTATTTTGGACTACAGAAGTACAGACAGGACCACTAATTATTATTTCTACTCACTGGTCCTGTGGTCTAGTGGGAAATTTTGAAAGGTTTCTTTCCCTGTAAACCCTACCCGTAAAGGTCCGGCTTAGAATATTGATCTTCAGTAACCCATGCTTGTCGTAAGAGGCGACTAACGGGATCGGGTGGTCAGGCTCGCTGACTTGGTTGACACATGTCATCGGTTCCCAATTGCGCAGATCGATGCTCATGCTGTTGATCACTGAATTGTCTGGTCCAGACTCTATTATTTACAGACCGCCACCATATAGCAGGAATATTGCTGAGTGCCGCGTAAAACTAAACTCACTCACTCACTCATTCAAAGGATTCTACATATCACGTTTTAAATCGTAGGATATGTGTTATTTTAAAATATGGCTGAAGGGATGATGTAAATCCAGCTAGGGTCCGTGCACGTAGCAAAGGTACTGTAAGTCCCCATGGTCCCTAGTATGGTGATCTACCTTCAGTTGTTGGCGACCTATGGCAACGTTTATATATTGTATTGTCTTTCATAGTTTCAGTTTTTTTGTATTATCATACTAGTTTTACAATTATATCTGTGATATTCTAGTGATTTTTACTGTCCTTCGCCGACAGGTTTGATAATGATTTATATCAACACCCTGATACACCACAACCTGCTGTACCATCAATTTTGTGGGACAGTTATAACAGGATTTGACACAGAAACCCTTTCCTTCTTTCAAATAACCAAACGTTTCACTTCACTGCCTTGCTGCCTTATAATAGCATTTGAAATACTTGATGCATTGTATGATGGCGTTCCGTGCCATTGCACCCCCATCCCATACATACGCTAACAAGGAAGTTGTACTGGAGAATAACACAAACAATACCACCATGACTGCTTGATCCTGACATACTTCAGATACCTTCAGCAGTCTTTAACTGCCATTCTGACAGAATATTTGCAGTTTTTCTTAACAGTTATAAAGATAGAATAACTAAGTAACTAAACGTAGATATTCCGTGGGATTTGTTTTGGCAATAACTTTAGACAAATCTAACTAAGCAGCTTCTGGCCCCTCTGCTGTGTTTGGTTGGTCGTCGTGTAACGCCATACGCAGCAATATTCCAGCTATATGGCGGTGGTCTGTACCAAACAATCTAGTGAGCATCCAATCAACACCATGAGCATTGATCTATGCATTTGTGATACGATGACATGCGTCAACCAGTCTTCAAGCCTGACCACCCGATCCTGTTAGTTGCCTCTCACGACAAGCATGGGTTGCTGAAGACCAATTCCAACCCGGACCTTCACAGGTCCCCCTTTGCTGTGACAATTTCTTCTATAAAACATCAACAAGTATGTAAACATTAAAACTGTTGTTTTTTGGCATCATGAAGCATGATTACTTTTATTTCAATTATATCATGGCAGTTTACTAAATAATCAAAACCTTTTCTGAAAACAGAAATACAAAAGCCTTGCAATGTGGGAAAAGAACAAAATATGTGTCTAAGGTTTGTTATTTTGCACATATACAAAAATAATATTTCAGTTTCTGTTTATGTTGGAAAAAATACTTTAGCTCCGAAATATTAAAAAAAACACCAAAAAGAATGATATTACTTAAGGACCCATTCTCCATTGTTTGTTAGTGTTTAAGTGGATGAAAACAAACTCATCACCTCATGTACAGTAATGAGCAATACTGCTTTATTTCATCATCTATGAATTGGTTTTGGTATCTGAAAATATACGACAATATACACTTCAGCTGGATTAGCACCATCTTTGAAACACACAAATGACTATTCTAACAGAAACAGAAAAATATGTTCCCATGGTTACAGGAAAAAGGTGGGTCATCTGTTGGAATCATCATTTAACATGAAAAATTGGTTTGGGCTAACACATTATCTTGAATAATATCTAATGATTCTACAGGTACTTATACGGAACATATTCAACATGTTGAAAGTAGCTACACATATTCCAGAGATGCCAACCCTAAATTTAAGCCCAATTAGTATTTTTGCCAAAAAACTGATGCAAAAATTAGTATTAACCATTCCAAAGAATTTTCATATTTAATACAGAATGTATAGATATTCTGAGAACTTGTTATTAAAATTGTACTCACCTAAATCAGTAGTAAGTATCCACACATTGCCTGATACTGATTAACATGTGGATGCAATTTATTGTGTATGGTATATACGCTATTGATAATTTAAAGTATTTTTTAAAAATTCGTATATTTTTACTGTTATCGTAGTCACATATTTTGTGTTGTTTTTTCGTAACGAATATGATAAAATCGTATGAGTTGGCATCTCTGATATTCTTTTATTCACAGAATGTAAAATAGCAAGCAAAGGCCGAGTGCTAACATATCTATTTGGTTTCTTGTTTACTACAGCACTCAGCAATATTCAATCTGTAATAATTGAGTCTGGACTACACAAACTGGTGATTGATATCATGAGCATCGATCTACACAATTAGCATACGATGACATGCATCCACCAAGTCTGGAGCCTGACCAACCAACCCATACAAACATAATGAAATACATATGTACATGCTAGAAATGCTAATGTTTAAATAATAAAACAAATGACATGTCACTGATATAAGTTTATAATTTTGTATTTCACTCTCCTTACATTTATGTCAGATAGTCAGACATAAATTATTACAAGAAGCACACTATTCCATCACAGAAATAACTCATATTTTGATTCTAATGTTATCCTAACAACCTTGTGCTAAGAGACCCATTTATATATGAATGATCTAAAATGGACAAAATATACACATATCTTCGTCAAAATATTTCTGGGATTCAGAGGATTCTGTTAAACACAAATTCCAAACATTACACAGGTTCTCGGACATTCAATAACAAACCAACCTAAGCTACCTCATTCTAGCTACCATGCTGAGACGCTCGATCAAGACCACATAAAAACAATTTAAGTAAACTATGTTAAGTGAGTGAGTATGGTTTTACGCCGCTTTTACCAATATTCCAGCAATAGTACGGCTGGGGACACCAGAAATGGGCATCATACAATGTGCCCATGTGGGGTCGAACCGGGTCTTTGCGAGCCAACGCGCTTAAACCACTAGGCTACCCCACAGCCCCTTAACCTATGTTGAAAAGATCATAGTAAACATGAACTGTTGATATGGATTGTAAGTTGCTAGGTAACAGTAAAGGCGAGATATTTTATAGTAAGTGAGTTTAATTTTACGCCGGTTTTAGCAATATTCCAGCAATATCATGACTGGGGACACCAGTAATGGGCTTCACACATTGTACCCATGTAGGGAATCGAACACGGGTCTTCAATATGACAAGATATTGAATCGATGACAAATCCTTTATTTCAGGTGTATCGGTTCAGACAAGATTATAAAGATCGATCCTTATAAAAACAAAAAATATCATAACACCACAAAGTTGATATCCACATATATGTTGCCTTTACATGACACTCATGCTGGCCATTCTGTAACTGTTTAAATTTGTGTATACCTGTAAAAAAACTAACCGTGCAATATGAACGGGAACAAGTTTGATTAAATACTGCTTTCAGCAATATTGCAGCAATATCACAATAGCTTGAGTAACTGACTGACCGAGATGGTGTAACGGTACCAGAGTCTTATCCCACTTGGGACAGCTGTCACATATCTTAGATCACGATGAAGGTGATCTGAGATTTTCAGCGAGTAACTGACTGACCGAGACGGTTTAACTGACTTATCACACTGGAGACGGTTTAACAGTACCAGAGTCTTATCACACTGGAGACAGCTTTCACATATTTTAAATCACAATGATGGCGAATCTGAGATTTTCGGTGAGTGAGTGACTGACTAGTGTACTGGTACTAGAGTCATGTCATTCATGGTCTGTCAGATTAGCATTTTAGAATTTGAATAGAAGCAATAAAGGCAAAATATTTTATGGATGACAGCTTCTGGACTCCTGATTAAAAACGATGTAAGGATATAGACATGTATGTATATCAATACTGAAATGCTGTATTACAATACAATAAACAATTGTCATCCATATAGTATCTTGCCTTCTGTTGACATTATTCATGGTGGTAGTGACATATTTTATTTCAAGAAAATGTGATTTGGTGAGTGAGGTATAGGAAGCTGCCACATCACGGTCACCTATAAATGATTTGATTAATAAATTTAAATCCAAAACTAATATCTGAGGCATGCTGTGCTTTTAGTGCTTGAGTCTGGGTTTATACCGCTTTTAGCACAATTCCAGCAATAAAACAGCATAAGACACAGGAAATTTGCTTCACACATTGAAATCATATGGGGAATTGGACCCAGGTCTTCAGCATAAGGAATGAAAATTTTAACCAGTAGGCTAGCCCACCTACCTTGTGTTTTCGAAGTTCTTTTCACAGCTCAACTGTCTTGAAAAGGTAACTTTTAAAAGAATTTAGTAATGGGATCAAATTTAGTATCATAAGATAGTCAACTGTTCAAAAATGTAAATTATGTCAACAGGTTAATACTAAAAACATAAATTTCACCTTCATTTTCTAAATATTACATCTAAACGCTTGAAAAAAAATAACATCATTTTAAAATTTGTGGTATTTAAACAACAAATGTATTGCAGAGAAAATAATATCTCATGTTGGGAATTGAACCTAGGTTTTGGACATAAGGAATGAATGTTTCAACCACTTGGCTTCCCAACGACCCCTTGAGTTTTTCAGTTCCTGACAATGTTTCAGTTCAACTTGCTTACTTGAAAAGGTAACTTCTTTAAAACTTAATACTTTAAACTTGGGACAAAAATTTGCATCAGTAAAGAGTCAACTACAATATTTCACAAACTTAAATTATGTCAACGGGTTAGAGTAAAAACATCAATTCCCACCTTCATTGTCTAAATATTACATCTAAACACTTGAAAAAACTAACATCATTTTAGAGCTTGTGGTATTTAATCAACAAATGTACTACAGAGGACATGATATCCCCCTGATTCTCCCCACGACAGAGAAGTGTGGCAACATTGTACGATCAATGTCTCCAGTCCGGCTGTAATGTTGACAAAGAACAGTGGGAGTCAATATGCTCTCAGCCAGATGTGTGTTGACAAACAGCCTCGTGACAAGTGCTGAACTCTCTTCAGAGAAATAGGTATTTCATTTAGGTAGACATGGAAAATGCAACTTTTCAATCCCGAAAGGGTTCAATGTGGACTTTTACATCATCCTCATCCTCATCCTCATCATCATCATCCATCATTTCAATACTATTTACAAAATTGATTTCTTTACTTGATTTACAGATTCTGTGACCTCCCTAAACATAGCACAAAATATAAATGAAAAAATGAGCCTGTAAAAAAAATGATATACACAATTAAGTAAGAATCTTCTTCTTCCATAACAACAACCAATCAGTCCTCATGAAAGTGACATGAAAATGCTCAGTACAAAAGTGTAGTTGGCTTCGAAACTTGTTTTCGTGANAGGTGGTTAATGTGGCTGGATCTCCCCTCAACTTCGTTAATGTTGGAGCTGGAAACTCCACTCATTGCTGTCTTTGACATATTTTCATCCAAACCAAGTACAGGAATTTGGAACGACATATTCTTCACGTCAAATTCTGAGCTAGTTCACTAATCAACATGCACTGGTTGACATCTCTGACATCTAGACCAAGACATCAAAGAGAACCGAAGACTTAATGACATGAGCCCAGTCCAACCTTATTCTTCAGACTACTCATGATTTGTTCCTAAAAGACAGTTTAGGGATTTCCTGATTAAATGTTTTTATTTATTGTTTAACGCCACACTCAGCAATATTCCAGCTGAATGGCAGCCCTGATACATATACAAACAATGACTAACGAGAGGTACATGTATGTCCATGTCGTCAATTCTTTAATATATGTGGTTGATCTATGGAACTTCCTCACAGGAAATATGAGAATTTTCTCATCAACTGCATCCTTTTATTGACAAGAGGGACATTGGATCACGCTGATAGGAACACAATTCTGCGATACTCTTTGTGTACCAGAGGTACAGATAAGCTACGTATATGCGTAAATTACGTAAATATTTATAAATATTATTCCTATTAAGTATATTGCGTACAAGTATGCTTGAATTTTTGTAAATACTCAATAAATGTGATTTTACATCCGTACACACAAAAATGTCAAATCTTAGCTTGCGTACCGGTAGATAGATAAAACAACTGAGATATAATGAGAGGTTCTATTTCAGCACTTAAACTTGGCAACTAGCAGTCTTTCTTATCGTTTCTCATATTACAGATCAAACATAAATAACAAACACTAACATTGAAACTTTCATATGTTTTTACAATTAATGAAACATGACACAATAACCTATTGATGTTTGAGTGAGGTGAGTACAATTTATTTGGTTAACTCAAAGGAAAATTTGGATACCCAATTGAGATGAACACAAGCGAGCACATAACTCAATGACCCAAAAAGTTATCTGTAGCTCTGTTTTGTGTACTTTGGCTTGTTACAACCAGTGCAAAACATACATGAGACTAGGGACGTTGCTGCGCGCAGTGCTGTTGCAACGAGTGGCTGGTCATGATGAAGTGGTCAGAATTTTTATGCTGCTCCTGATGCAGCATGAAGCGTCATACACTCACTCACTCTACCATCAATACAGATGGGGGAAGTGGGGTAGCCTAGTGGTTCAAGCGTTCGCTCATCATGCTGAAGACTCGGGTTCGATTCTCTTCATGGGTACAATGTGTGAAGCCCATTTCTGGTGTCCCCCACTGTGATATTACTGGAATATTGCTAAAAGTGGTGTAAAACTAAACTCACTCACTCAATACAGATACATTGGGTAAGTCAGTGACTATGGTTTTACGCTTTTGGCAATATTCCAGCATATCATGGCGGGGGACACCAGAAATATATTGTTTAAGAAAGTCCTTTCCAAATAAAAATGTTATGCCTTTAATTTAGATTAGTTAGTTTATAAGTCATTTGCATTAAAATAAATATAAGTTGCTGATTTTTGTAATTTCAGCTTTCAGTACAGCTATTAATGAATGAAAAATGAATGCCAAGGTCACACAATAGCAGAATTATGACTGTGAAACAATATTGAAAGAAAACTGACTGATTTTTGTTAGAATGTAGCTCCTTACATGTATTATTTAAAAAATGTGATAAATTTTGTTGTTGTTCATTTCACCTAATTGTAAAACAGATTCTAACAAAAGGGTTTTTAGTCACATGTTATCATGATTTCTTTCTAACTTCAGTTTTAATGTTGCTCAGTCTTATAAACCAACCCCTAAAAGATTTAATGCCTTATACAACATTAAATTTATAAAAGATATACATGTATACAGTTCAGATTTTCAACTTTTCCATATTTTTTACAAATATTTTCTCCCCTAAAATTAAGTAGCTAACCAGCATATGGGCCAAATTCATCATGTTGTTAGCTGGTGCCTAATGCACAAAAATGAGTAAAGGGAATTTTCATATTTGTTGAAAGAAAATCATTTGACTTCAATGATTCTTTCCACAAACATGAATATGAGTTTCCAGAGTGAGTAAGTGAGTTTAGTTTTATGCCACTTTTAGCAATAATTCAGCAATATCAATATCATGGCGAGGGACACCAGAAATGGGCTTCACAATTGTACCCATGAAGAGAATCGAACCCGAGTCTTCAGCATAATGAGCGAACACTTTAACCACTAGGCTACCCAAGACCCTGAATTTCCATTAAACTACAGGCGAAGTTCATGTCAGTTATCTGTTGTTGAAAACTGATTAGAGTGACCACCAACTGTTAAATTAAAACTGACCACCAAAACTTGGCACATATATTGGCGTACATAACCACACATAAAGCTGCTTTGGTATCTACATTATAATATATGAATATTCAACAATATGTGATGCTGTTTTGATTATTTTATATTTCATGTTGCAGTCAAACACTTCTGTGTCAGCCTTACAGTCGTCTCAACATATAAGGCGCGTGGGGTCTAATGGTTAAAAGCGTTGGCTCGTCGCGCCGAAGACCCACAATCGTGAAGCCCTTTTCTGGTGTCCCCACGCCGTGATGTTGCTGGAATATTGCTAAGCGCGTAAAACCAAACTCAGTCAGTCAGTCAGTCTCAAAGTATAAGTTTGGTCCCTGTGTTTGGTTGCGTTGAACCTCTGTTAACTTGAAGTTCTTTTCTTCCTCAGTTCAGTATTGACACATCGGTATTTGACTGCATTTTCATTCAAGAACTAAAATAATAATATCATGAAAATAATAATAGTTAAGGCCAGACCAATTTTTTTCTTGTTTTACGGATCTGCTGGTTGAATTTTTTCAAGAATAAGAAAAAAATAAAATAATAATTTTTCCAGCTCAAAAAATAAAATCCTCATGTTTTTATTGGCCAAAAATGTAAACTTACCCCAAAAACTTTTTTTGATTGTTTTTTGACCCCACACTATATAAATTGCCCAAAATATAATACTTTTAATATTTAAAAGGAATATTACTTTGAGTGGTGATTAATATTTTTATTTTTTCCCCCTCCTGCCTTTAGGTTTCTGAGGACAAAAATCTGTAAAACAAGAAATAAACTTGGTCTGTCCTAAAGTAAAATACCAGTATTAACGTCACAACATTCATATACAATCTCATGATGAAGATTATTCTGACTGTGCAAGTAGCATCAACATGATCATCATGATATAATGAGAGAGACTACGCTTAATGGGTAACATCCTACTCAAAACCTACTCAATGCAATATCAATATGACTAAAAGCAACATTATCACAAAAAAAATTCTAAGAAAATTCCCGCAATAAATTCTGACAATAATGTTTATATGAAACGAAAACATGTATACCCCCACCCCTACCCCATTCCCCAAATGATTGAATCCATATCCATTATCAGGGCTACAACCAAATACATTTTCGTCCCTGAAAATGAATATTTCAATTTTCAAATATAATATTAAGATAATGAATGAGACCAGCCTCTTAAAACAAAATACAAAATTGACAACTGACAGAAAGACTATGATGTACCCAGTTTTTGGTGAACTGTATTTTTTGAGTCTACTATAACATTTTTATCCATATGACTTATGGATTTACTTTCAATATTTTCGGCTACTTTAACATCCTTGTGTTCCTGTTGTCCAGGCTGGGCAGGTTGTTTGGCTTGTTGTAATGGAGGTTCCGCATCCACCTTCGTCACTTGCTCCTCCTTTTCGGGGCACTGCTCCACAACACTGATGCCGAACGGTTTGAGGTGGTAGATCATGTATTCCATGATGTACATCATGTTGGGGGCGCAGCAGTGGAAGGTGATGAGTGTGAGTGAGCTGCAGTTTTATCCCACTTTTAGCAATATTCCAGGAAAATCTTGGTGAGTGAGTGAGTGAGTGAGTGAGTGGAGTGAGTGAGTGAGTGAGTGAGTGGGAGTGAGTGTGGGATTATGCTGTGAGTGAGTGAGTGAGTTGGGTTCTATGCAGCTTTTAGCAATATTCCAGTAACATCACGGCAGGGACACCAGCAATGGGTGAGTGAGTGAGTGGCTGAGTGAGTAAGTGAGTGAGTGAGTGAGTGAGTGAGTGAGTGGCTGGGTGAGTGAGTGGGACTTGGTCCATATATAGCAATGGTTGATACTTTGAGTGAGGAAGTGAGTTGTGTTGTATGCAGCTTTTATCAATATTCTAGCAATACCACGGCTGGGACACTAGGAGCGAGTGAAAAGGCTTACTAGGGTATTTTAGTGAGTGACTTTAGTATAATATGCCGCTATCTTTGAACATCATTCCAGTTATATCTTGGCTGTCAACAGATTGTTATGCGTGTTTGTTTGTTTGTTGTTTAACACCACACTCAGCAATATTCTAGCTACATAATGTCAGGGTTTGGACCAGGCAATTCAGTGATCAACAGCATGAGACATTGGGATATGATAACATGTGTCAACCAAGTCAGCCTGACCACCTGATCCCCGCCTCTTACAACAGCATGAGCCATTGGGATACGATAACATGTGTCAACCAAGTCAGCCTGACCACCTGATCCCCGCCTCTTACAACAGCATGAGCCAATGGGATACGATAACATGTGTCAACCAAGTCAGCCTGACCACCTGATCCCCGCCTCTTACAACAGCATGAGCAATTGGGATACGATGACATGTGTCAACCAAGTCAGCCTGACACCTGATCCCCGCCTCTTACAACAAGCATGGATTGCTGAAGATCAATTCTAACCCGGATCTTCACATGGGTAATGTGTCAGCGTTCTGAAGCCGGAACTGATGCAGGTCTCGTCTGCCACATGAACCATGGGCAATTTCAGGCAAAATGGACACAAATAGAGTATGAAGTCATTATTCAAATATCAAGATATGTATCAAAGCATTATGTGAGAGGATATGATGTAGTAGGATGCAAGATGTGATGTAGGATGTGATGTGGTGTGATGCAAGTTGTGGCAAGATCTAATGCATGACACAAGAGGATGTGACATAATGTCATCCATGATGTGAGTGAGTGAGTTTAGTTTTATGCTGCTTTTAGCAATATTCCAGCAATATCACAGTGAGGGACATGGGCTTCACACATAAGGGCTTCACACATGTGTGGAATCGAACCCAGGCCTTGGGCATGACGAGTGAACACCTTACCCACTAGGCCACCACCCCATGATGTGAGAGTATGTGATGCATGAGTGAGTGAGTTTAGTTTTACGCCGCACTCAGCAATATTCCAGCTATATGGTGGCAGTCTGTAAATAATTGAATCTGGATCAGACAATCCAGTGATCAACAGCATGAGCATCGATCTGCGCAATTGGTAACCGATGACATGTGTCAACCAAGCTAGCGAGCCTGACCACCCGCCGTTTGTAAGCCTGTACGACAAGCATGGGTTATTGAAGGCTCATTCTAACCAGGATCTTCACAGGTCTATGATGCATGATATGAGGATGTGATGCATGAAGTGACAGGATATGATGTTAATCTATGTGACACATGATGTGACCAGATGTGATGCATGAAGTGACAGGATGTGATGCTAATCTATGTGACACATGTGACCAGATGTGATGCATGATGTGACAGGATGTGATGCTAATCTATGTGATACATGATGTGACTGACTGACTGAGTTTGGTTTGACGCTTTTGCAATATTCCAGCAACATATGTGCCGGGGACCAGAAATGCTTCACACATGAAGTGAACGGGGATGTGATGTTGACCACTCTACCCCACCGCCCGACACATGATGTGACCAGATGTGATGCATGATGTGAGGATGTGACACATGATGTGACCATATGTGACACATGATGTGACCAGATGTGACACATGATGTGAGAGTAAAACAACCTACCTGTTTTGCCGGGTAATAGCTGTAACTCCAGTACCACATATCAGCCGGCAATATCCCCGGAATTAGGTGATGCTCCGGAACAAACGGATGGAACCTTTCACGCCCAAGCTCGTCTCGAGTGTCCGCAGCCACCACCCCAACTTTCTCCAAACACCGCCCCATCTCTAGATCTTCGGCCCCACCGTTGTCGTTCCGGCATTTCCCTGGATCATTCACAGCTTTTTCGACGAATCGTGTCAAGGCATCCTTACTTAGGACATATCCAGCCCCGCCACTCATATATCCTTGGCTAACATACGGCTTAAACCTTCTGCCATAGTACAGCGGCTTCTGTGTATCTTTATCGCTTAAAAAATGTCGCAAATTTTCCAGAATAACATACGTATCATCATCAGCTTTCAGAAACCAGTCAGCATCGTTAAAATGGTTAGTGTAGACATATTTAAATGCTTCCTTTGTCTTGGCCCAGAGGTTATCGCGACCTTCAGAGACAGGAAGTTTGATGGCAGGCAGGGTGGCGTCTACTTCTGAACTCATGAAGAGCAACACGTTACAGCGTTTGCCCCAAGTAGCCTTCACATGCATGGCCTTGGTTTGGATGTTGGATGGGTTCGTCATGACCCAGCACAGCACGCGAATCTTCACTGCCAGTTCATGGGCGATGGCACTGGACTGCTCTGAAATACAGGGACATTATTTATTGCTTGGGAAACAGTGAACCATATATACTCTGGGCTACCCTGGATATAAAAGACAATTTGTTATTTAAAACACATGTGTCCTCGGGCTTTTGAAAATATGGCCTAATGTATCTCAACCCTCTGATACAAGCAAGATTCTGCCTTTTTCATTATACTACAAAGGTGTAACTTTCTTAATATTATTTTTTTTAAAGTCACTTGCCACAGGGCAAGAAAGTGACTTAAGAAAGTAACTTGTCCGGACTAATTTTCCACTTGCCCTGATTTTTATGACATAATTTTGATGATGTAATTATGAAAGAATAATCAACATGGTATTTGATGTTAATGTTTACTGGACTACTTATCGATGAGTGATAAATAGCAAAGAAAGATAACTCTAGTTTATTATCATTGCGAAAATTACTTCATTTCGGTCTGGTATCATGTCAAATTGTAATAGCTACATTTTGAGCAGATATGAAATGAAATCCAAGTTTATTTGCAGTTTGAAACCGTGAGTACTGCAGAAATTATCTGGTAGCCCATGGACAAGTAAAATACCATTATCTGATCACCCCGAAATGAAAACTGACTTGTCCTGGGCGTCGGGCGATGGGATTTTTGAACCCCTGTGATCTATACATAATGAAGGATGATACAATCTGATTATACAACATAGTCACTTGGGAGAAAACATAATTTCATCTATGTAAAGATATTATAAATTAGACAGCAGTTAAAGAGGTGAGCATGGTGAGTCTGGCAGTTTCTAGTGAACTACTAAACCAGGGTGCGATTTCATATTTTTCTTCAGTACCTACACCAAGTGCAACCTGGCTTCTAGGTTTGGCTGCACCATAAAACTTTTGGTTGCACCACAAAATATGTCACTGGTTCAAAAACAAAACATGAATACTTTTGTTAACAATTTTTATAACAAGTATTCAGTATCAGATACATTCAACAGAACCTGACCCCATGATGATGAATGATGAATGATTCTGGTTCAGTTTTAAATTACCTATATTTATAAATCTCAGTTATATGATAACTGCTACATTACTGATTAATGAGTACACAAATGTTTATGCTTGTAACAAGTCTTGTTACTTTCAGCCACTTACTTCCCTATTAAAACACACTATGACAGCTATAAGATGTTGGACAATTTATTGTTACCTGCCTTGGGTCAACCTGTTACTAAAGGCAACGGGCACCAGCCATTTTGAACATGCACTGGTGCAGGTTGTAAACTGCAAAATCACACCCTGTAAACTCATTACAAAACAAAACAGTTTTTAAAAAGTCCCAAAATAACAAAACCTCAAAGCAGAATGAAGTATTTCTACCCTGGAACAAAATTTGATACCAATCTAAGACCAGTCTCACCATCCCACATCCACATAAAGAAATCACCAGACCAATTAATTAATTAATTACTGTCTACACTATGATCTGAAACTCACTCTCCACAAACTAACAGCCAATGTCTAAGACAAGCACTACTGTTAGGATGTATCTGAACACAGTGAATATCTCACTGGTTAAATCCATGGGACGTTGACTGCATTGGTTTATTGTACTGGTATTCCTATAGTGAGTCACTTTAATAATTACCAAACTGGTTGTCAATCACGAATGCCTCAAATAGGCCAATTACTCTATCTTCCTTTACATGTACCACAAATTATAAGATAATTGCTGTGTTATCAAGTAACTCATGGGACGTTGACTGCATTGGTTTATTGTACTGGTATTCCTATAGTGAGTCACTTTAATAATTACCAAACTGGTTGTCAATCACGAATGCATCAAATAGGCCAATTACTCTATCTTCCTTTACATGTACCACAAATTATAAGATAATTGCTGTGTTATCAAGTAACTCATGGGACGTTGACTGCATTGGTTTATTGTACTGGTATTCCTAAAGTGAGTCACTTTAATAATTCCCAAACTGGTTGTCAATCACGAATGCCTCAAATAGGCCAATTACTCTATCTTCCTTTATATGTACCACAAATTATAAGATAATTGCTGTGTTATCAAGTAACTCATGGGACGTTGACTGCATTGGTTTATTGTACTGGTATTCCTATAGTGAGTCACTTTAATAATTACCAAACTGGTTGTCAATCATGAATGCCTTAAACAGGCCAATTATTCTATCTTACTTGATATTTACCACAAATTATGAGATAATTACTGTGTTATCAAGTAACTGGAAAAATAATGGACCTTTCATTGCACAGAATTTACATATAATTTAGAAGCTTAAAAACACTTACTTTACTTTCTATAAAATACTTGATGAAATTACTTTGGATTATAAGATAATTACTGCGTTGTCAAGTACATGGAAAATAAGGTGTCTTTTAAGGCACAGAATCTACACATTATTTTAAACCTTAAAAAAAATTACCTCACATTCTATAAAAAAAATTATGAACTTGTTTTGAAAGATTTTTTTCAAAGGAAAATGATCTTCCCTGTGTCCATTTCAACATTCGCATCTGCAGACTTACAACACCAGTACATGTATATGCGAATCCTAACATGACTGATCTGGTTTTCCTCTAAGTGTTTATCTGTAGTTTGAACATGACCCAACTGTTTCCTACAGGGCTGAGAGATAAAATTACTATCAACATTGTGCATAACTGTTCTCTGGACACACACTAGTTCAAATTTCCTGTCCCAACTTAGCAGGCAGCTAGGGTGCACAGGTGATTATGTTGTTAAACTGCAAACATATAAAATACCAACATCACAATATTATTGTCAAGTCAGTAAGGCACAATGACACAACCTGATATCTTTTAGTATTTACACATATTAACTAAATAAGGGTTAAAGCGATTGTATTTATGACTGTGGCTGCTTTATTCAGCAAGTTTGAACCTGTTTCTGTAATTTGGGTCTTTGCATGTTTAACTGTCCTTTGTTGACAGTATCTTTAATATAACTTTATTTATTATCAATGTATGACTTGTTTTAGTCACGATATGACTGAAATATTGCTGATGTGACTATAATATCTCTCACTCACTCACCCACTCATTTGTTCACCCAGATAGGCTCACTCATGTTGTTAATTTCAGACATGGCTATGTTAGATCATAATGTATACTGCCTGAGTGAGTGATACGAGTATTTCAGACATGGCAATATTCCAGAAACATATGATGGGGACACCAGAAATGGGCTTCTGCCATTGTACCCATGTGTAAGTGAATCGAAGTAGGGTTGCGATGTGGCGAGAGCAAACGCTTTAACCACTAGGCTAGCTTTTAGCAATACTGCCAATGCAACATCGAACCCGGACCTGTGGGGACACCAGAAATAACCACTAGGCTACCCACACATTATACCCATGTGGGGAATCGAACCGGGCCTGCGGTGATTGTGTGACGAGCAAACGCTTTAACCACTAGGCTAGCAGCTTTAACCACTAGGGAGAGGAATCGAACCCTCCCCAGCAAGCGCTTTAACCACTAGGCTACCCCACCGCCCCAATACTGCCAATGAATCATTCAATGCGATGCTGCTTCTTTTTGACTTGGCAGTTTCTTAGATAACTACTTGGGTAACAATGAATATAATATGAGGCGAATACAATGTTTTTCAAATATACAGTAATGAATACGAATATCCATTCATGAATATTTTATGATTAATATCTATTAATCAAAATAACAAACATGTCATGTAATTGCATGAAACATTAAATGATATATTATTTAATCATTGAAACATTAAATGATATATTATTTAAAGTGAATGAGTATAGTTTTACGCTGCTTTTAGCAACATTCCAGCAACATCAGGGCGAGGGACATCAGAAATGGGCTTCACACAATGTGCCCATGTGGGGAATCAATATGTGATTGTATCATAACAGGAGTAATACCTATATAATAAGTTTCATGAAAGTGTAACCTGTAAATAAGTCAACCCAAAAAATTTGGCTTATATATGGTCATACAGATCTGGCCACACAAATAAATATCTGACGCATGAAGAAAATGACTTGTTTGAACTCAACAAGTCAGTGAACACATTTCACTTATCAAAATACCTTCAACCATGTCATAAGAAGATAGGTGGGGTAGCCTAATGGTTAAATGGAATCCCACATGGGTACAATGTTTGAAGCCCATTTCTGGTCTGTTGATGTTTGGAAATTCTTTAAAACCAAACTCATATCAGTCAGTCAACCATGTCACAAAAGATACAAAAAACATTTGGTCTGTTGAGTATTGATCCAAGGATCACTAATGTTGCAGTCTTTTATTCCTTTGCATGGTCTGATGCATACATTACATTTCCTGGATAGCTCAACCCATTCTCTGCCACAGTGATATACAGTCAATTAAGAAATACAGTTCGGTCTACCTCCATGTATAGTGTAATAAAGCATGTCACGATGTGTGCTTTATTACACTTAGTACACTATACATGGTGGTAGAGCGAACTGTATTTCTTTTCTAAGATGCCAAATTTAATGCTTTCTAAGGATAATTACGATTAATCTATGGCAGAAAACAGACGACGGTGTCGGTGACCTAAATTAAGAATCCTCGCACAGGGCTAACTGATGCGCTGTTCTATTGATGTGTCAGCCCCCCTATGTTAAGACGAACGTTACCAGAAAAAACAAATTATAAACAGTTTGATGACGGTTTATGTTCGGATTAAATATCTTCTCTAAATTATTTTAATTACATATGTGATTAACATAAACCATATGGGGCAATATGAACATCGCATTTCTGCTACCAACGTAAGTTTAGATCAGTACATCCAGATGAAGCTGACTAGTCAAGCGACATTCCACAATTGCATTGTGGGAATGTAAACATTGCGAACGTTACTGTGTCGCTGAAAAATTGTGAGTCGAATTGAGACATTTTATCTGTCGGAAAACATAAACGTAATGTTTCCACCAGTGATGTTAGCCGAGTGAAGCAACTGCAAACCAAGAAACGGGATGT